AAAGAACGCCCCCTGGGGTCTGGCTCGTATCTCTCACCGTGATAGCCTGACCTTCGGCAACTTCAACAAGTACCTCTATGCCTCCGAGGGTGGTGAGGGTGTTGACGCCTACACCATTGACACTGGTATCAACGTTGACCACGTTGACTTTGAGGGCCGTGCCACTTGGGGCAAGACAATCCCTACCAACGACGAAGATCTTGATGGCAATGGTCACGGAACTCACTGCTCCGGAACCATGGCTGGTAAGAAGTATGGTGTTGCCAAGAAGGCCAACCTCTATGCCGTCAAGGTCCTCCGGTCGAGCGGCTCTGGCACCATGTCCGATGTCGTTTCTGGTGTCGAGTATGCCGTCCAGGCTCACATCAAGAAGGCCAAGGATGCCAAGAACGGCAAGGTCAAGGGATTCAAGGGCAGCGTTGCCAACATGAGTCTCGGTGGTGGCAAGTCCAAGACCCTTGAAGATGCTGTTAACGCTGGTGTTGAGGCTGGTCTTCACTTCGCCGTTGCTGCGGGTAACGACAACGCTGATGCTTGCAACTACTCTCCTGCTGCTGCTGAGAAGGCCATCACTGTTGGTGCCTCGACTCTTTCTGATGAGCGTGCGTACTTCTCCAACTACGGAGAGTGCACTGACATCTTCGCTCCTGGTCTCAACATCCTGTCCACCTGGATTGGCAGCAACTACGCCACCAACGTCATCTCTGGCACTTCCATGGCCTCTCCTCACATTGCTGGCCTGCTTGCCTACTTTGTCTCCCTCCAGCCCTCCTCGGACTCTGCCTTCGCTGTCGAGGAGCTTACTCCTGCTAAGCTGAAGAAGGACATCATCGCTATTGCCACCGAGGGCGCTCTTACTGACATTCCCTCCAACACCCCCAACGTAAGTTCTGCCGCTGTTGATTGTTATGAGAGAAACAAGCTAACTCAGAATTTCAGCTCCTTGCCTGGAACGGTGGTGGTTCCGAGAACTACACCGAAATTGTTGGCAGCGGTGGCTACAAGGTCTCCTCTGCCAAGAACCGCATCGAGGACCGCATTGAGGGTCTGGTTCACAAGGCCGAAGAGCTGCTCACCGAGGAGCTTGGTGCCATTTACAGCGAGATTCAGGATGCCGTTGTCGCATAGATCAGAACTCGTGCTTTCCAGACGTAGATCGGAAGACTTTGGTTTTTTTGAGGTATGGGATGGTTGATCGGACATTTTGGCGCTGGTCTCTTTTTATTGTGTTTGGTCTCGAAGACGCCGATGCATTGACTGTATCGGCTGTATCACTCCGCCCCTGTTTATCTGTTTGGTTCATTTTTATGGTAGTATACATGTCCGCAAAGAAGGTTTTGTTACCTCACTTAGAATGTTCTGGCTCTATAACAGACTGACAATCTCACTGGGTTATCTAAGAGATCTGCACACCGCTTAGTAGAAGAGAAAGGTGAGGGAGTAGACATTATCAGTCTAAACCCACATTACAACATGTTGTAATGGATGGGATTACTTCCGAGATGTTAGCCTCTGCGGTACGTGAATATAGTAGTCTACAAAGGAGCCAATCCCTAGGAAAGGTGATCTCCAAGCCATATGCATCTAACCTCATATCTCTCGTCATCCCTTATTGGAGATGCAATCAATCCCATGACAAGCAACTAATGACATCATTGGTCACGCTACGGGGTCATACCGAAACGAGCTGTGCCGATGTACTAGTACTCCTACGAATAGCTACAGCAGTACATACATTCTTTCAGGGAGCAAAGGAATACTAATAAAATCATCTATAACGGCTTCATATGTAGAAGAAGACAGATATGTGATAGTAGTAAAAGCATACAAAGAACCTCCAACGCATGCTAATATAGATAAATGGAGTGATGATCTCAAATTGATTGTTTGTGCTGTATACCACCTCTTAATGCCGCGCCTGCGCTATGCCACGATGAAATATTGGGAAAAAAAAAAGGGGGGGGGGGGGAAACTATGTGAGTAGTAAGTAGTAGTAACTCCAAGCGCCAAATATATAGATAGGTGGTGGGAAGAAAGGTGGCGACATGATTTGGCTTTCTTTTATAACTTGATAGGTTGAATGAATCAAGTAGTCTTGTGTTCGTCTTCTTCTTCCTCGTCACTGCCGGAATCCTGGTCTTCGTCATCGTCAAAAACATCAAGGTCCTCGTCGGAGTCGCTGCCGCCGAAGACGTCGTCGTCCACATCGCTCTCAGCCCAGAAGTCGGAGTCGTCCTTCTCCACGGGTTTATGAACTGATGTGGTGGATTCGTGGGTGGGCATGACGAATCCCTCGGGAATGTCGTTCTTCGACTCCTCCACGTGTTTTTTCACGATCGATTTGTATTCGTCGGGGCTCTTGCGTAGCATGACAGAGGCGTCGACGTTGGCGGGGGAGGAGATCTCGGCATCGTCGAGGAGGGAGAGAATGGAGATGAGCACGGATTCGACTCGTTGGGCTGGTGACCATCGCTCTGAGGCTAATTCGCCGGACATTTCATCCTCGCCTGGGGCGTGGAGAATGGATATGCAGAGCTTGCCGTCTTTGTAAATGTTCGGGTGGTAGAGGGGGCGGACAAAACGAAATTCTGGAAATTGAGATTGTATGTCAGTTATGCTGTTCTGCTTTTCTGCATTGTTGCCACATTTTCAGGGGGGTGGTGTGATGGAGGGGGCCGGCGTGTTGTATCGGGAGGGACGTTCGTGAACTCACCTGGTGGGGAGTAAGGGTAGTTACTCGGGAATTTCATGATCGCTTTGAAGTAGCCGCCATAGTATAAAGAATCCGGGTTTAGAACGATTAGCCCGACCGTCCAGTGTAGGAGATTCTGCTCGTCAACCTGGAAGGGATATCGGTCAGCATTCTTGGTGCGACTTTTGAGTGTGGTTTGCGATGGGACACATGATGCGATGGTTTTCGACGTATGACCAAGATTAGAGTGGTATTTGGGAAGATTTACGTACATCAATATTTACCCAGGGCTCTTGCGATAGTGTCTTATATTCGTTCATCAAAATGCGTTCGGCCATGGTGATGATCTAACAGGGGCGAACGATCGCGTGCCCTCGTTGAGCAGTGATGGTGGCTAGACTGGAGGCCCAAAGGGTCGATAACTGACTCGGCAGGCGAGATAACTGGTATCAGTTTTCCTTTCCTCTTGTACCCCTCTTGAAGTCGAAGTGATCAGGGCTGGATAGGCGCTGGATCAGGACGAGATCAACGGGTTTAAAAGTGGTTGATGATCACACACTAGTCCCGCTGTGGCAATCCATGGCATCCACGCGCAGCGGAAGGGCCCGGGGTGGCGTTCCGAAAGAAAGCATTTTGCAGCAGAATCTGAATCTTCCTTGGGTTAATTAATCAATACTTGTCATTGTACTTGTCGATCTATGGTAGTTGTCTGGGGAAATCTTAAGATAAACAAGGACCAGGGCGAAAGAAGCCAGAGGGCCATTGTTCTTCCACAGGATTGTTCATTATTCTTTTCTTGTCCCGCGTAGCCGACAGTGGGGGGAAGAACCCAGCAAAGTGGGGAATCCCCTTTCAATAGAATGAGAATAGTTCATGCCGTTGAAACTCTTGCCCCATTCAGCATGGAGTGCTGGCTGTCGGCTCCAACCGTTATAGTAACTTACGATATAAAAGCAACGAGAAGTTTAATCCGATAAGACAAGGGAGATCCTATCGCAAGCACCAACCACTTCTGCAACAGAAGGATTGTTTCGGCCGTTGTTGAGACACACTGCGACTTTCTGCTTTGCTGACCAATTCAAACTCTACGCGGTTTAGCTGCCTTGCGTCCTTATCTCGGGATACCCGCATCTGAAATAGGCCGGCCAGCCAGACACACTTTAGCGGGCGTTATCGCGCATTGGGCGACTAAATTGGCTCATTGTCTCACAGGCTCCAGCGTCGGACTAATGAAAAGCAAGACCGTCAAGTGATCAAAGACTGCGACCGCTTCTTCTCCGACAGTTTGACATCTGACTCATCGGAATATTCAAAGCTCATAGGCAGGAGGATGACGAATTAGTCTGTTAGATGGCAACAAAGGGTTGACTTGCTTGAAGTTGAGTCGGTGTGACGGGCAAGGGGCATGCAGGATGCACGGACTCTCTCAGACGCCCTAGGGCGTACATCTGGATGTTTCTTGGACCCCTCTCTCCTTCATTGAGTCACTGACAGGGACTTGAACGCGAGGTGGAAGGCCTGGATGGCGTTGGTCATGCGGATAAGCCATTTTTCTGCAGGTTGGCATACAAGCCTGATTGGGTTCTGGGAATGTTGCGAAGAGATACTTTGGCACGTCAAGTCATCCTTCCAGCTTTAGGAGCATATACTACATACGCAGTGATTGTCCAGGGAGATCCGTCCCACCCCAAGCCCACGTTGCGGAGACAGGGTCGGGGTCGCCTGTGACACTCCTTCACGATAGAGTCGCCAACTCCACGCATCTCGTAGTTAGATCGCTTCCCCAGTATAATGGTAACGGGTAGAAGATCGAAGGATGCCTGTCAACGGTGTAGGTAGCAGATCGAGGGTCATGAGGGGAGGGTTGATGAGCCAAGCGTGAGAAATGAACCGGGACTGTTTGTTAGTGCAGGGAGTAGGCTCCGAAGTAGGCCATTAGTATCAGTAATGGAATGGGGAGGTGACTCAGGGTAATCAGGGACGATAAGCACGAGTCATCCTCAAATTTCTCGCTAACCGGCAAAGAAGACCAATGGATCGAGAGGAATAATAAGAATTGACTCCAGCGTAGTAACCCGCTGAGCTCCGCCGGGGGAAGGTCTGGAATCCTTCTGGCTGCGGGCGGTGGATGCGAGAACTAGACAGAAGGCGACGAGGAGTCCACCCGAACTAAACCAAAGTGAGTTCCCGCCTTAGCTTACTTTCTGTTAGGTTGCCAAACCGGCGTGAGTTCCCACTCGTCATCGCTTTGCTGCTGCTGCTGCTGCTGCTGCTGCTTCCTTCTTCCTCTTTTACTTCTTCTTATCTCCCTCCTTCATTTTCTCTCCCTTTTCTTTTTTTTCCCTTTTTGTTTCTCCTCCTTTGTCTCCGACCCTCGTGCTGGCTTTGACTGCATGTGGTGTTTGCCAACTTTTTCCTCCGAGCTTTCTTGGTAGTGTCCCTCAGTCCCCCGTCGGGCCTTTGGTTCGTCTGCCATTTTCTTTTCTTCCTCTCCGCCTATCAAACTTGGCGATGCTAGGCTTGCCCTGCATCTATAGTCCGGGAAGCAAACACCAGAGTATCTAGGCTCAAAAATCTTTTAATAGCTCGATTGGATTTTACTCATTTATCTCACCAGTCTGTCGACTGGTCCCGAGTTAGGAGCGCATGCTGTTCCTAAGCTTTGGTGCTCACTACTTCTTCTTATCCGCCCGCCAGCCATGGCGGTCGAATGCCACGGGCCCATCTGGGCTATCGATGATGTCTCTCGTTGCTTCCAACGCAAGTACGTCAATCAATGTCGCTTCTACCATTATTATCACCTCCGGAGTCGCCAGCTAACGTTTGACTGTCAATTGTAGCTATCTTCAAGTAATATTTCCTCTCACAGCCTGCGGGCTCTCATTACTATTCGTCATTCTTCGCGTCGCATACCAATGTGCCGTTTCTCGAAAAAGCGCCTCCTACAAGTTACTAGATCACAATGCGGTTGAAGGCGACGCACAAGTTGCAACCTTAGATGATGAAGGGGAGGAAAGCGACCTAATGCTCAGCAAAGCGGCACAATCCGAGTTACCGACATTCGAAGTTGATCGTCCTCGGGGAGAAATCGCAACTTTAACGCTGGAGATCCTTGCGCTAGTAGGAGAAGTGGCCGTTTTCGTGGCTGTCCTTTCCACAGGCGTTTGGGGTCGCCAGGGTACTCTTCCCGCCATCGCCAAGCTTGTTTCCTGGGGCTACATATTGTTCCTGGCATTGGTCCGATTGTTACTTTCGACCTTCGACCTCCATTCATCTCCCAGGCTATGGAACCATACGGCATCTTTGTACGGACTGCAATGGGTTTTCACCGTCTTCGTGTTTCGCTCCGCCGTTATCCACCCCTTGTCGAATCGCGCTGTAATCTTCAGCTCCATTGAGTTTGCCTTGTCGACTTTGCTTTTACTTATCGCGGTCACTACCCGTAGAGGAAACAAAGTGGTTTTGGTGTCGCATGATGAGGGTCTGGAGCCTGCGAGACATCCCACAGCCAGCTTGTTCTCGCTGGCTACTTTTGCTTGGCTGGACCCTCTCATTCTCAAGGGCTACAGACAGCCGTTGGAGCTCGACGATGTCTGGGATCTCACAGCGTCTCAGAAAGCAGCCACAGTGTTGGAGGACTTCCGCCGCAGGAATTATCAGGGCTCACTGGTGTGGAAATTATGTCGGTACTTCTACGGCACGCTTCTGCTCCAAGGTGCCTGGACGATCTTTTCGAACCTGTTCACCTACCTGCCTACAATCCTCCTGCGCGTACTCCTGCAGTATGTGGAGGATCCAAGGTCGTCGACTGCAAACGCCGCGTGGCTCTATGCTATCTTGCTGTTCTGCTCTGGTGCCATTCAAGGTATCGCTGATGGTCAGGCTCTTTGGATCGGACGCAAGCTGGGTGTCAAACTTCGGGCTATCATTATTGGCGAAATTTACGCGAAGGCCCTCAGGCGGAAAGCGGGGTCGTCTGTAGAATCCGCGAAGAAGCAGCCAGAAGAGCCTGTGAAGGATCAAAAGAAAGGCGGTTTCTTCTCGTTTGGTCGAAAGAACAAGAAGGCAACAACCGACCCCGAGACAAATAACGCAAACGCGAAGAAGTCTGAAGATGATCAGGAGGACAAAGAACACATGGCTAACATTGGTACCATCATCAATTTGATGGCGATTGACTCTTTCAAGGTCAGCGAAGTCGGCGCCTACCTCCACTTCCTGTGGGCCAGTGTGCCGGTGCAGATCATCATTGCTGTAACACTTCTGTACCGCCTCCTGGGATTCAGCTCGTTTGCTGGAATCGTCATTATGGTCTTCATGTTGCCTATCAACCTTACGATCGCCAAACAGTTTACGAAGGTTCAGAATCGGATCCTGAAGGGGACCGATGCTCGGATTCATAGCACCAATGAGATCCTCCAGAATATTCGAATCATCAAGTATTTCGCCTGGGAGCAGCGTTTTGAGGACATCGTAAACGAGAAGCGAAAGGCGGAGTTGAAGGCTTTGCGTTTTCGGTACATCATCTGGTCTACGGCGGCAACTGTCTGGTATGGCACGCCCATCCTTATCACGTTCGCCTCATTCTTCTTGTATACAGTGGTGGAGGGAAAGAAGTTGACCCCGTCGATCGCGTTCCCGGCCCTGTCGATGTTCTCTTTGCTCCGCGTCCCTCTAGACCAGTTGGCCGACATGGTGGCTCACGTCCAAGAGTCCAAGGTCTCCCTTGATCGTGTTGACACTTATTTGAATGAAGAAGAGACCCAGAAGTACCGTCAACTCGAGGTCGAGGAGGAGTCTGATGGACAGCCGCCCAAGATCGCGTTGGAAAATGCTACCCTTACCTGGGGATCTGCCCAGGGTCAATACAAGGATGATCCGTCGGACGAGGTTGCCGAAGGTTTCCGTCTGATCAATATGGACGTGGACTTCCAGATTTGCAAACTCAATCTGATTACTGGCCCGACTGGCTCTGGAAAGACGTCGCTACTTATGGCGCTTCTCGGCGAAATGAAGCTTCTGCAAGGAAAGGTTCACTTGCCTGGAGGCACGGCTAACCGCTCGGAACTCCCAGTTGATCCTCAGACAGGTCTCATCGAAAGCGTTGCCTACTGCGCACAGGAAGCGTGGCTCGTGAATGCTACTGTCAAGGATAACATTGTGTTTGCTTCCCCCTTTGATCAACGTCGGTATAATGCTGTAATCAAGGCCTGTGCCTTGGAGCGGGACCTGTCAATTCTTGATGCAGGCGACCAGACCCTTGTAGGAGAAAAGGGCATCAGTCTTTCGGGAGGCCAGAAACAGAGAATATCGCTTGCGCGCGCTGTGTATAGCAGAGCTCGTCACTTGCTTCTGGACGATTGTCTGAGTGCAGTGGACTCGCACACCGCTAAGCACATCTTCCGACAGGCCTTGACCGGTCCCTTGATGATGAACCGGACTTGTGTTCTGGTAACACACAATGTTGCTTTAACCGTGTTCGAAGCAGCCCATGTCATTGCTCTTGATAATGGTAAAATCATCGCGCAGGGTCCTCCAGACGAAGTGGCGGCATCTGGTGCGCTGGGTGATGAACTACTCAAATCCCGACCAACTTCCAGGACTACTACTCCTCGTCCTTCTCGCAGACCTTCGGACCATGCAGAGCAAGATGACGAATCTCTTACGAACGGGAATGTTACCAATGCCCTTAACGGAAAGGCCAAGGAGAGTTCCGACTCTAAGCTGGTAGAGTCCAAGGCTGTCGGCAGTATTAAGCTGTCTACGGTTAAGATGTATCTCCAATCGATGGGATCCTGGCGCTACTGGATCGTGGCTGTGCTTGTTTTCTGCTTGCAACAACTCGGGTCTGTATCGACTAATATTTGGATCAGACAATGGGCCAATTCTTACCAGACTGAGGAAGTCGGTGCGGATCCCGGTGACTACGCGGCGATGGCAGCCTTCAAGATCCCGTCTTTCAATGTTGGTGGTGTTCCTCGCACATCCACCTTCAGCGCACCCCAGTTTGGTACGCAGAGAGTGAACGCCAATGGCAACGGTAATGTCAACGTATCGTATTATCTCGGTGTCTACGCATTACTGGGAGTTGCTTTCGTTGCTATTTCGCTACTAAGGGAGGGTGTCCTATTCTGGGGTTCTCTGCACGCTTCTTTCAAGATCCACCAACGGCTGCTGAGATCGGTCATGCATGCAAAGTTCAAGTTCTTCGATTCGACCCCCCTTGGCCAGCTGATGAATCGCTTTTCTAAGGATGTGGAATCCGTTGATCAGGAAGTCGCACCTGTAGCTATAGGCATGCTCCATAGTCTGGCATCCGTCGTGATGATTGTCATTCTGATTTCAGTCATCACGCCCGGTTTCCTGATTGCGGGTATCTTTATCACCTTGGTTTATGTCGCCCTCGGTGCCGTCTACCTGAATGCTTCTCGCGATCTCAAACGACTTGAGTCCGTGCAGCGGAGTCCTCTGTATCAGCAGTTTGGCGAGACCTTGAACGGCATTGTTACTATCCGTGCCTATGGTGATGGACCAAGATTTATCGTTGACAACCACCGTCGTATCAACGCTTACAACCGTCCCCACATTTATCTGTGGGCGAGTAATCGCTGGCTGGCGCTCCGTGTTGATGTAACAGGAGCCTTGGTGTCATTCTTCACCGCAGTCTTTGTCCTGATCAACATTGGAAAGATTGATGCCGGTGCTGCTGGACTTTCGCTGACATACGCAGTCACTTTCACCGAGAACGTTCTCTGGCTAGTCCGGTTGTACTCGGAGGTTCAACAGAACATGAATTCTGTTGAACGAGTCAGGGAGTACCTCGAAGTCGAGCAAGAGGCAGATGCAGTCATTCCTGACTCTAGACCGCCGGCCAACTGGCCCAGCGGCGGCGCGGTCGACTTCGTTGGATATACAACGCGGTATCGACCGGACCTTGACCCCGTTCTCAGGAATGTCTCGTTCAGCGTGCAACCTGGAGAGAAGGTCGGTATTGTCGGCCGCACTGGTGCTGGCAAGAGTTCGCTTGCCCTGGCACTTTTCCGTGGTCTCGAAGCTGAGAAGGGCCGCATCGTCATTGACGGCGTGGATACCAGCGCAATCGGTCTCCGTGACTTGCGAGAGTCGATCACCATCGTTCCTCAAGATCCTACTCTGTTCACAGGAACTATCCGCAGCAATCTTGACCCGTTCGATCTCTTCACGGACGAGCAGATTTTTACCGCCCTGCGACGTGTGCACCTTATCGGCCCGGGTACCTCTGGCACCGCGACCCCAATGACGACAAGTACGCTCGCAGAGCCCAGTTCCGCAACCCCCACCGGCGTCACTAGTAGCGCCATCCTGGACAACAAGAACATCTTCCTCAACCTGGACACTGCTGTCTCCGAATCCGGGTCCAACCTGTCCCAAGGTCAACGACAACTCTTGTGTCTTGCACGTGCTCTACTCAAGAACCCGAAGGTCCTGATGATGGACGAAGCCACCGCCTCTATAGACTACAACACCGACTCCAAGATCCAGGAAACCCTCCGGGAACTCCGGGAAAGCACCATCATCACCATTGCGCACCGTCTACAGACAATCATCGACTATGACAAGGTCTTGGTGCTCGACCACGGCCGAGTCATCGAGTACGACCACCCCTGGACATTAATAAACAAGGGCGACGGCCTCTTCCGGAGCATGTGCGAAAACAGTGGAAACATGGATAGTCTTCTGGAAGGAGCCAAGAAAGCCTGGGATCATAAAAATAGTGGTAATGACTCATAGATCGCCTCCTTCCTGCTTTATTCATTCTACTATTACTAGGGACCTCATAAAAAGTTCGCACATATTGAAAAGGCCCTTGTTACACATACTTATCTATCAATCCTGTTTATTATTAACTGTGTGAAAGCTGGCGCATGGGGTATTTCTACCATTGCTATTCTATTTTCTATTCATTTTCCATTATTTCCCTTCTTCTTCTTCTTTTTATACATTCGTTATTGTGCCCGAGAAAGAAAAAAGGAAAATTGCAGGCTTTACTAGTCCTATTTTGCCTTGTTCTCGTGTCCCAAAATTTGCTTGACTGTGACTATATAGAGAATATACTATGTTCATATAACCCGCTACCCCTCTATGCTCATAAGCGACCACATACATACCACAGCCACGACGTGATCCATGGACACAAGAATTAGGCAACAGTGAAGAAAGCAAGTAGTACGAAGGGAAACCCTCCTCCCCGAAAAGTGTAATTGTGAAAAGAGAGAAAAAACTTGCATAGAGACCCCTTCATCTACCCGTACGCACGCACAAAATATCGCCACTTCACTGCACAACCGGGCATCATGGATACTGATTCATGGACCCTGCAATTACAAAAGTAAGTCACTGGACCCTCTGAATTCCGAGCTCCGAACCAAACAAGGTGTGCTTGGCATGCATGCGACCTAACCGGGAAAGGACTAGCTCGGATTGAGTTTATTTCTTTGCCGCCGAGATCCGATCCGGAAGTGAGTAGTGAATGACACCAGACATCATCGATTTCCCCCATCGCTAGTCGGCTACGGAGTGGATAAATAGGTTATCTCATATAGAAATTAATTCGTAATCTTGGCGTTTATGTGAATATTTTCAATCGTGATGAAATGAATCCTTTTAACTCGCATTACAAGCCACCCCCTCCCCGGTGCCAGTAAGTAAGTAAATGAGGGGGGTCGTCAGTTAGGAAGGTTACCGCTCTTCTCCGGCCGGACCGTCCTTGATGTATGTATGCCTGTAATTTCCCTTTTTCGTTCTTATTCTTTCTTCTGGATGATATCATTCGCTATTGGGTGGAAGACACAAGACTTCCATGATATCACCACAGCAAGATAAGTTGAAGATTAGACGCATAAGAGACCATGGGTCGACCAAACACCGGGTTCGAAGTTTGATGGTATGGTATTTCCGCAATACCCGGGAAGAAACCGACCTATTGAATGAGAAGTTGTCTAGGCGGTGCATTGTTTGGAGGCGAAACTCTTTCTCTCTTTCCTTTTCTCCCTTGTTGTATGTGAGACAAGGTTTGTCAATAGGCTTTGGCCGGCCATGTCATGATGCAAGTGATGCAAGTCGAGGCTCCGCTTCTGTTGAGATTTTGACAGGGCCGCGCGTTTCGACAGGGCTGGATTTGCATTTCATCATATCGTTGCATTCAGTAGTTTTTGTAAGCATGGAGTATTGACGGAAGTTATAAGAGTAGCTCGTGCTGGTTCTTGCCGGCTGAAGTTTCGCTGTTTTATCATCCAGGAAAATTGTTCGCGCCTATTGTGTTGGATATACAGCTCATACTCTCTCTGCATTATATCGGATCCATAAGACAAGAAAACATCACTCAAAACACCCAATCCAAGCCAATTTACTAGGCACGATGCGCATTTTCTCCGCCTTGAACGGCCTGCTCCTGGCAGGAGCCGCTGCGGCTCAGAGCTGCTCTCTTCAGTCAAACGAATCTCAAGCCGTTGATTATGGCTACGCGCTCTCTAACTTCCTCGACCGCTTCTATTCGTCGGTCCCGGTCAATCAGACCTTCTTGAGCAGCTCCCCAAATGGCTCCAACCCGCAGTACTTCACCAACTTCCAGGGTATTCAGAGACAGAACCGTCTGGGTGTGCGTGCTGTGCAACAACTTGGCTCGAAGCTGTCTGGCTGGACCCCTAAGAATTGCAGCTTCACCTTCCCAAGTGCCAGTGACGCCGACTCCTTCGTGCAGAACGCGCTCCAGTTGGAGTCAACAGTTGCTGGAGCGTACATTGCCCTGGCTGGTTATACCCAGGCCCCCGAGGCTTCGTTCTTGTGGGCTCGTTTGGCTGCTGAGCACACTGCTCACGCTTACTATATCGCGAGCCAGAACCAGACCGTTCTCTTCCCGACGAACAGCTCTTCGCTGGTGCCTGCATACAGCCCGGGATACGTTCTTTCCAACGGTACTGGTCCCGGCAAGCTTGGCTCATACTTCCAAGGCTGCGTCACTGCTCCTCCAGCTCCGTGCGGCCAGACCCTGTTCATCGGACCTCTTACTGCCACACTCGGTGCGAACGTCTCCGCAAGCGCAGCTGCTTCAAGCTCGGCCTCGCTGTCTGCATCCGCCACTCCTTCGCCCAGCTTTGCGAGGAGGTTCTTCTAGATTCGGTGCTGTTTTCAATAGTGGCGCTTGGCACCATCAATGAAGTCCAAGCTTGAGTGGTATCTCGGAACAATCACTGCACAAAGATAATCGGTACAACATTGATGAGGAGGAGAGGTAATAACTTGGAGATGGCGCCTGTTAATAATGCCTTAATGTCCAATCCTGGATTAATGTAATTTGACAATCTATGAACTTGACGTGTAATGTATGATCGCCTGAATAGTATATTGCCACTATGTTGCACTTGTGTAAATTGTTAATTTACCATGTCTAATCGTAGCACTAAGTCTCATGAGTTCATGTTCATTGATGAGTTCGTAAATTCGAATAGTCGGTACACCTGCAAGCGTTGAGATTCGAAGCCCCCGTCTCTCAAGCAAAGCAATGCCGCGAGAGAAGAGCGATGCTAGTGCTGATCCTGATGACGTGGAATGAGCAAGACACATAAGCTTACTTAGCATTGGAAGTGCTATACGCAGCACCTACCTCGCTCCAAATAGAATCATGCCTCCGCTTTCACGCTGGTCGCGAAGGTATAGGACAGAACCTGAAGTACCACATGGTGCAACTTCACACCAGAGCTTTGCGGCAACCCGCCCGTGGAAAAGCACCCGCTTTTTATGTAGGTTAGAGGATGTTAAGCCGCTGTATGATGATTAAAGAGAATGTTGGGTTCGAACCGAGGACGTGTTCTTGTCTAACCGGGTTGAATAAATGCGAGATACCGCTCTAGGCTCTCCCCAAGTACGTTGATGAATGGCCACTGGGTATTCTTCCGAAAGAGTCGAGCCCAAAGCTTGATGACAGCCAGGCCAAGACTTCCGGGATCCTGGCTAGGGAACGATTCCCCGTCTTCAAGATCCATTGATTCGTAAGCTTCTTGTACAATGCAACGCGTCCAATGTAATATCCGATTCTCGTTCTCTAAAGTCCATAATTATGTTAGCAAGCCCTCGATCGTTGTTGGAGCCTGTATATTTTTTAAGGGGGATTCATACCGCTCAAGGCTTGGCTGCTGCCAGTTTCAGCCAGGGACATAAGCCATTTGCTGAGAAGAACAGCGCACTCTAGACTAGCAAGTGAGTGACGAACACTCCAAAAGAAGGCTTGACTGCGTGCCACGTGGTCAATACCCAGGCGTACGGGAATGCTCAGTGCGTGTGCAGAATAAATGAGGGCAGGTGTCAACCTATAGCTCCTTCCTGGTCGCGGCGATCTGTGTATCGCGGTAGCAATGCGATATGGATCCCGTGTCTCCAACTGACGATGCGGTCCAAGATTGAGAGACAAGCGGACATAAGCCAAACCCAAGAGTGAACTGGAAGTGAACGGAATCGGCCCATTCTCGTTATGCGGGTCAAGACTAGATTCGGGGGCTTGTTGCCAAACTGAAGTCCAGGATCGGAGTGCTCTCCTAATCAGACGCGTCAACCGTTAGTCATGTGAAGGTCAGGTGGGTATTCCAAATGCGGATTTGCTAGACAGACGAACTCACTCTAACTTATTCAACTCCTCGGTCGGAAGTGAGAATGACTGATCCCCATTCGGAATAGATAGCTCGCTCACAAGATGAATGCGTTGAAGTAGGCCATGAAGCAGAATATAGTTACCCAAAGGCGCAGGGATCGGATCTAGAAGTACTGGATTTCGTGAAGGTTGCAGCAATAGTGCCAAAGCATCCTGAAAGAATAGTTGCTGAGAGTCCACCTCCTTTTGCGCGGCCTCCCAGTCGTGGGCTGTGGCGGCTTTCCATTCCGGCGTGGAACACGGGAGACGCAGATGCACTTCGCTACTGCGGAGCACTGGGTAAATGTTGTATGCAATACTATGAACGTGAACGAAGCAAAATGATATGAATCGAGTGCGTCTTATAGATTCCTCTTCGCCCCATTCATGCCACTGCAAAGGAGAATGCCGTGGGGCAACTGTAATGTTCTCCATGAGTCCGAGTTCTCGCAAGCACCGAACGAGCAGATTCTGTAGGCCAAACGCTTCTTGAACAAGCTCGGCCTTCTCCCATGTAGAGTACCCCATCAAAGCTAACAGGGTGCGAATAGTCTCGATTCTCCTCCAAGCGTTCATTCCTGCGGCAAACTCTGGCGACGAGAGTAACGGATCCTGGCCCGAGCGCTGAGATGAGTCGCGGATACTGTTCAATGGTATTTGAAGGATTGAATTAAAGGGTGGTAAACTTGACTCCTTCGACAGTCGGTATAATACTATTGCCTTGGCTGCATAAAAGAGTCTCTCAGCATTACGGTGCTCGAAGCGGTATTGAGCGCCTATTGTCATGAGAGCTAGAATGAGCTCTGGAGCTCGGTCGTTGACCCGGAATGTCGGTACATGGAGAAAAGGAAGATGTGTATGGAAGCCAGAAAAGAAAGAAGTCAAGTATCTTGTCAACGTATGACGCGAAGGTAAGACAAAATCGGGTATGAGATAACGGAACTCGTCCAAGGAGGCCGCCAGACGCTGCCGCTGCTCTTCTGTAACTTTGAGCGATATTGGGCTCTTGCTAATTTGAGGAGGCTCTATATACTCGTTAGTACAAGGGTCCGGTTGTGATTTCCCTTTAAGGTCTTCAAATGCTCATACCGTAGTCAGATACAGATGCGAAGCTTTGGTCTCCTGGAGGTACGGACGGCAACCACGACCGGAAAGGCGAGTCGGCCCGTGACCTCTCAGACTGGCGCGGACGCGATGAAGATTCGTGTTGTTCCCCAGAACTTCTGCTAAACTCGGGTTGTTCAGTTGAAACGGGGTTTTGAATCTGAGACATGTCCCCAAATGCTGGCACCCACTCTGACGGGAGACCTATCGAGTCCAGAAAATGCGTGAAATCCTGGAAATGATTCAGCTCCTCATTTAGGTATGGGATCGGTTGGGCTGATAGCATGTTAGCCGTGCGCGCTTCCCAGAGGGATAAGAAGCTCATTACCTGGAGGTGGTGCATGTCGGTAATTGCCCGGAAGAAGAAGCTGCGCAGCTTCCAAAATCTCCGCATCGTGGCCGACTGCGCTGGCATGCGCACCAAGTTCACCTGCACTGCTAGTCCCCGTATTTAGAACAGCATTACGATCCTGCGCAATATATGGCCCACGTTGCTGTCCTGCCCACTGTTCTGCAATCGGCGGCATGGGGATAGGAACATCTGGACGCGGTGTTGGTTGAACATTGTTATAGTTGGGTGGGATAGTGGTAGGCTCTGAAGTCCCGGCTCTATTGGCATGGTCCAAAGCTTCGTGATCCGGTTGCGAATTCGGCGAAACCAGACCACTGGTACTTTGATGTGCAATGGTTGTGTGTCGCTTCAACAGATCTCGTCGGGTGAATGCGGAGCCACAGAAGCATATATACGGTTTTTCTTTGGTGTCTAAAAGTGCACCGGGGCCTTAACTTAGCATGCGGAATCATTCTAGACAATGCAAGAATTCAGACACCACTAGACTAGCTGGAATTGCTCAAAGATGATGCGACTTACGTGTGCGAACATGTCGCTCCAAATGTTCCGTCCTTCTGAAACTGCGCCCGCAATGGACACAGACCCGAGTTTTGGCTCCAGCACTCGAGCGACGAGAGCCGCGAGAAGGTTGTGAAGGAGACTGGGACAGCATCAAGTCATTTGGAGGCGAAGGAATGACCGGAGTATACAGATAAGATGTCGCGACCTCTCCAATTGGAGACACCAGGTACTAGGGGAGAGGAGACTAGCTGTGGAGGATGGTGAGGAAAGAACAGGAAATGAGTGAGTGACTCCAACCGACGGTGCCGAATCGGCTGCCCCCAACGCCACTTTGGGAGAGTTGACCCCACTTGCCCGATAAGCTGTCTTTCTCCAACCCGGTCGGTCAGCTGTTGCTTGCTGAGAAAGGATGTAGTATATATTGACAACATCATCATGAGACCAATGCGCGATGACTGTCTCGACTTCAATCTTTTGAGCTGCCCTGTCCTCAACGTGGAGTTTCAATTCAATTGTTCACGATAATAGTTGCCCGCGGATATGACGCAAACTTGGACCTTTCCGGGAGTTGCCGTTGTCACAGGAGCCGGTGGTACAGGTATACCTTATTAAAAGTCTATCGCGGGGAAAGAAAAAGCAAAAGTAACTAACGGCTTCGCAGGCATCGGTGCAGCTACAGCAAAAGCGTTTGCTTCGGCAGGATGTGAAAGCATCGCAATCACGGATCTCAATTTTGCCTCTTTAGATCAGACCCGGGAGGCTATCCTCGCTTCCTACCCTCAGACGCGTCTTCTAGTCAAGGCGGGCGACATATCCGATGAGAGCTTTGTCGAGTCTTTTATCAGTGAAGTAGTGGCTGCATTTGGACGGCTGGATTATGCAGTCAATTGCGCCGGAATCCTAGGAGACGCCATGCGAACGACCGAGACATCAACGGCGGTGTTTGACCATATCAACAACATCAATTATCGGGGAGCTTGGTTCTGTTCTAGAGCAGAGTTGAGACAGATGGTGGCACAAGATCCCTCACCGAGCCATGATCCGAATCGCGCTCCTCAGCGAGGGGCTATTGTGAACGTTGCAAGTCAGCTGGGCATAGTGGGACGCCCTAGTGCTCGTAAGTCCGATCTTCTCCTATTGCCCAATTCTTCAGTCAACGCTCTCTGGTGTGAGCTAACTGCGTCGAATTTGCTTCCAGCTGCGTATTGTAGCTCCAAGGCTGCTGTCATTGCGATGACCCGCTCCGATGCTATCGACTATTCTGCGGACGGCATCCGTGTAAATTGTGTTTGTCCCGGTGTAATTGAGACCCCAATGACAACGTACAGCGAGGAAATCCGCGAGCACTTTCAGCCAGCAGTTGAAATTGCCCCGATGAAGAGAATGGGGAAGCCGGAAGAGGTGGCTGATTCCATACTTTTCTTGTGTTCGACTCTTGCCTCTTTTGTACAAGGGCATGCGCTTGTTGTCGACGGAGGATATATAATCAACTGAATAAGAGGAGCTTCCTCACTCGTGATAATGTTAATGATAAAGAATGAAATAAGTCATATATGGGTATATGACGGACATGCAATATATAGCAGTCGCAATGAAGGTTCGTCACCTAGACCAACTTCTATAAAATTCTATCTCTAGTGTACTGTGTTTATCAATTACTCGCCACCTTTTTCCAATCGTTGTTCTTCTCCCATGCATATCCTGCCTTGAGTACTTTGTGTTCCTGCCACAACCCTCCGACGATCTGCATACCGACCGGGAGCTTGACCTGAGGATCATCCTTGGCCGGAGCATACCCCACTGGTATAGACATCGCTGGGTGCCCCGTAACATCAAAGATTGCCGTGTTAATCGTCAAGCCCATGCTAGGCTTCAGAGACTCGACCGGCAGGCCTCTTGCACCATGTCTTGGTGCAACAACAGGAGTGGTCGGCATTACAACCACGTCATATTTCTGGAGAAGATCCTCGTAGAGGTCCCGAAGCCGTCGGCCAATATTTACCGATTTGCCGTACAAGTCCGGAAAGCGTGAGGTAAGATAGAGGCCATTGATTATAACGTTCTTAGTGGCCGGAAAGGCTCTTTGGAAGCCTTCCTTCGTCCACGGGAGTCTCTCACGCTCCATCTCCGTCATGTAGAGGCCCCTTCTGCCATGTGCCTGCCCAAGTAGCGTCAAAGAGCCTGAGACGCGCTGCTGAATGGTCCAGATAGCAGGCCCATGGTAATGGTCTGGAAGGGATACTTCCTCGACTGTTGCTCCGAGCTCCGTGAACTTCTGAATGGCCGCCATGACCGACTCTTTGACCGCGGGGTCCACGGTGCTGTGTTCAAATCCTTCCTTCAAGACTCCTATTTTGAAACCATCGAGTCTTGTAGCCTCATCCTGAAGCGACTTGGCAAACGAGGTAGAGCCGTGTTTAGGACTCCCCAGGCATCGATCGTCAATGCCATCATAGCCGGCAATAGCGTCTAAGCAAGAGGCAACGTCGATAACATTCCGAGCAAGCGGGCCCGTGTGGTCATCAATAGCATCCCCGCTAGCAATACCCGTAAAAGGCACCAGCCCATATGTAGGCTTCAAGCCGACACCTGAGTTGACACGATTAGCTATGATTTTGGAAGACAATCATCAAGGCCGCCTACAGCCACAAAATGCGGAGGGAACCCGAATACTCCCACCCTGGTCTCCGCCCAGCGTAATGTCAACCAACCCAGCTGCAACCAAGGCAGCCCCTCCTGAGGTGCTTCCGCCAGCCGAGTATCCGGTTGCGAAAGGGTTCTCCACGGTTCCTTGAGCACTCGTGAAAGACGCCGTGGAATGGCAGTAGTTCTCGCAAGTCGATGTACCATGAATATCAGCGCCAGCATCGAGAACTCGGGTCACAACCGTCGCATCCGTAATTGGCGTCCAAGAGGGAATGATATCACTTCCAAGCAACTGTGGTACACCTGCAACGGCAATGCAATCCTTCACGCTAACGGTCTTTCCCACTAAAGGTCCTCCCTCCGCATTGCCCTTGATCAGAAACTTGTGAGCCCAGGCCTGCCCGAATACTTGTTCCTCTGGGGATGGACGGTGAACATTTTGTCGAGGGTATCTGTCTAGATCGGGGGCTGGCTGATAGTCTGGCAGGTTCGCCACGGTTTCGGCGCAGTCGTGGACGGCTGCCAAGAGGGTATGGAAGTCTTCCTCATCTTCTTGGTCAATAGAGAGGTCCAGATTGCGGAGAAGGGAGGCGGCATCCTCCCTCTTGACCGGATTGTCCCTGTGGATGATCTGTAAGGTTCAAATTCCTGGAGAGAGAGAGAGCGGGAATAGAATAGATAGAGGACTCTGTACGTACGGCGAAATAGAAGTGAACAATACCGACATAATGTGTGAGTAGATTTGGACACAAAGTTCAATTCTACAAAGAGAAGAGTATTGGAATCGACCACAGCGAAGAAGAAAAGGCCTGGGCATGTGCCATGTGCCAAGCCTTATCGCCAGCAGTTGGAGTCGATTACTGCATTTGGCAGGAACGACTGCCGTGACTCCAACATCCCCCTCCCAGGCAGCCGTCCGGGGCGGCCTGAGGGCCCGAAAGGCTAAGGGTCCAGCTAATCTGATTAAGGGATCTCATTGGGTTTCTTCACCCCATTTTCAACCCGCCAAACCCACCAAAACCCATCAGACATGTCTATTTCATACTTAAGACTACACGTTCGATAACTGACGAAATTATCTGAATCACTAGTCTTATCGCATCGTTCACCTACCCCAAATACCCCTCGTATCGCAGCCATCGATAATGCACGATGCCGTCTACTCCAACTGATAGACTCCAACGTAGCACTCCAACGGAGATAATCCTCCGTGGTAATCCTTATCGGCCAGCAACTGAGCTCGACCTCATCGGCCCGTCATACTATCAGTAGCGATTATATTACTGGTGATAATGTTCCGCGGCCTGATCCCTGTGCATTAAATGCCTAGCAATAAAAATGTAAGGGGTCCCGACTTTAGAGGTTACTCCTCTTTCCCTCAACCTGGACACCCACCATGGCGTACATCAATGAGGCCAAGGACCTCAAGGTCGCTCCAGCCCTGAGTGCCAGCGACGACATCAGAGTCGCCAGTTCCTCGGACATCATAACAGGCGATGATAGCCATGAAGTCTTCCAGCAAGCAGATGGCAAGGTCAATTTCCGCACCGTTAGCTGGATCCGCGCATCAGCTATCTTCCTGAAGAGTATGTTCCCAACTAGTCCCCTGCAACTTGCATTCCTCTCATCGGACATCTCCAGTGCTGTTCGCAACCGGCATCCTCTCCATCCCATCAGTAATGTATGATCTGGGGGCCTTCCCCGGTGCCGTCAACCTGGTAGGATGGTGTGTCCTCAATGCCTACGGAGCCATAATCCTAGGCAACTTTCGCACTCTATACCCACAATGTCACTCCGTGGCCGATATGGCCCAGCTCATAGGAGGCCCTATGCTCCGCGAGGTGGTCGGCTTTATGTTCATCGTGACATATGTGATTACCGCCGCATCAGGGATTATTGGCGTCTCTGCCGCATTCAACGCCCTCTCTCTTCATTCCCTGTGCACGGTGTGGTTCTCATTCATCTCCACCATCATCATCGCGGGCTTTGCTAGCGTGCGCAAATTCTCCCACATCGGGTGGCTCACCTGGGTGGGCTTCGTTAGCATTCTATCCGCAGTTCTCATCGTCGTGTACGTCCCTAACCCCTTCCCCAACACCACCACCACAAGCCTAACACCCCCCAGCATTGGCGTAACAACCCGCTCCCGCCCAGCCATAGCTCCCCAAACAGGCCCCTACGACCTAGGCTACCGGGTAATCGGCTCCCCGACCTTCGCAGCAGGAATAACCGCCTCAGCCACGATATTCGTCTCCAGCGCCGCAACATCTGCCTTCCTGCCCGTGATCTCTGAAATGCGGAAACCCAAAGACTACCCAAAAGCGGTCTACCTGTGCATGTCCTTCGTAACATCCTCCTACCTCGCCTTCGCACTAGTAATCTACGCCTGGTGCGGAAAATGGATCGCCTCTCCAGCCCTCGGCAGCGCCGGCACGACCATCAAACGCGTTGCCTACGGCATTGCCCTACCAGGCCTGATCGTCAGCGGCTCGCTCTACGTACACGTAGCAGCAAAGTACCTCTTCGTTCGCATCCTGCGCCACTCGCGCCACCTCCAAGCCAACACAGTCGTGCACTGGGGTACGTGGCTGAGCTGCACGATAGGATTAGCTGCGATTGCATTTATCCTGGCGTGTGCGATTCCTATCTTCACGTATGTGTTGGCACTAGTGGGTAGCTTGGGGTTTGCGCCGCTGGCACTGTGTTTGCCGGGGTGGTTGTGGTTGTATAGTCATGGGGAGTATTGGAAGTCTGGAGGGGTGGTGAAGCGGGTAGTGTATTTGTTGCATGTGTTGTTGATACTCCTGGGTGCGTTTATGACGGTGGGTGGGACGTATGGGGTTATTGTGCAGATTATGGATGCGTATAGGGATGGGCAGATTGATGGGGTGTTTTCGTGTGCGGATAATAGTGGTTCTACTTGATGATAAAATCTACTAGAGTAAATGTAATATATGCAATAAGAAACAATGCATCATAGGTTTGGTTGTGCTTTTGTAGTTCATACAGATTTAGTATGATCGTTTGTAGATTGTCATTGATCATAGGACTCGTCAAAGTAACAGGAAGTTACAACCGTGGCTTGCTAACACAGATCGCATTCAGAAATGAGAAAAAAGGAGAAAATGAAATGCGATAGAAGAAAACAAATAAAAGCAGAGAAAGAAACAGAGTATTAACAAGACCCTCAAGCCTTGACCCAGTCAAGATGTGTCAAAACTAACAGGAAATAGAAAACCCCCGAATCAGCACGTCCTCCTGCAGAACCGGAGTCTGACAGATCCCTGAGCCCATAACATCAATGGTCTGACTGCATGTTGTATCGTTGAAAACCTGCACGGGACAGTTCGAGCCATTTCCCACTGTCGTTGTTATGTAGCCCAAGGAACCGCCGTTGAGGATTGAATCGTGGCAGGGTAATGTCCCATTCCCAGAGAAAGATGTTTCTTCGCCGGTACATTGTGGGTTTTGATATAGAGATATCTGCCAGGTGATGTTTGACGCGAATATTTGCTTCTGTGAGTGGGGGAAGGCGTGAACATGGAATAAGGTTGCCAAAGCGGGAAGTAGTATTTTCATTGTGTTTGGTCCGGCTTCGATTAATTGTTATTCTCTGATAGTGTGGTGTTGTTTTGTGGGCACTAGTGGTTGAGTGGGATGAAAGTGTTATGTCTGGCCTTCAGCGTAAGCGACTAGACTCGGGTCTCGAAGTATATGCGAAGGCGGGGAGGATAGAAGAAACACGTTGGTAGGGAAAGGGTTATGGCCAATGGAGAAGATTGAGTCACTGACTTGCGCTGTTTAGTGGTGCCTGTGGTAGGCTTTAGGCAAGGGACGCATTAGAACTTTCCCCATTGCCGAATGACCGATCTTCAAAGCCTCATCTGACGAAAGGGTTGACAAATTAGACGCATAATGATGTCAGTGCCAGCAACCCTCGTGATGACAAACGGAACTAGTTCACCGAGCTTGCGGCTCCCGCTTCCTTCGTGAGCTTTAAATTGGCGCAGTCTAAATCTGGAGGTACTGCAAAATATCCTGGTCTAGAGTGTCCGCGGATTTGGTGATCATGCTTTGGGTTTGTATCTGGCCAAGCGGGTCAAGGACCTCGGGGCTGAGGCTCGGGTCGGAAGGCAAGAAAGGCTCTGTGATGGCTGGTTCTCCGGTAGGCCCAAGATCATGGAAGTCTACAACTTCAGTGTATCTGGCATCCTGGTCAGTTTGGGACCCGGTCAAGGATCGCAAGAGGCTCACATCATGATTTTCCATTCATCGATTGAATGGGCTACTTCACTGAAAGACCAATCGAACTTTTGCTCAGCAACCGGCTCATCAGTGGGATCGTGATATACACCCAAGTAGGGATGTTCCAAAGCTTTCGCAGCAGAGATCCGCTTGTCGGGATCGAATATGAGCATCTTTGCAAGGAGGTCAATAGCTGCGAAGAAAATCCCGTCAGCATACAAAAACCGTTCAAGCACTTGTTCAATAGTGAAGGGGGTAGGTACCGTCTTCATCAGAGTCTGGAAACAAAGTCGCCCAAGGAGCTGGCTGGCGCTTCGGCAGCGACTTCACAATATTAAGGGCCTAGATAATAAATCAACTTCCAGGTAAAGCAACAATTGTCTCCGCTCTTACAGCTTTTGTACAGATCCTCTCAATGACCTCATCAGGCGGGTTCCCCAGAGCATCCGTAATCAGATAGAATTGATGGATATGATCCTTTCCTGGGAACAATGGCTTTCCGCGAAGCATCTCTGCGACAATGCAGCCAGCACTCCAGATGTCCACTTGCATTCCGTATTTTTGCCATGTAAGCATGATTTCTGGTGCCCTGTAATATCTAGTTGAGACATATCCGGTCATCTGAGGCTCCTGCAGTCGCGCAAGACCGAAATCACAGATCTTCAAGTCACAGTTCTCGTTGATCAGTATGTTACTCGGCTTGAGATCACGGTGTATCACGCCTGCGGAGTGGATGTATTTGAGGCCTCGCTGGGGTCGTTAGCAAGCTTCTGTCGACTGGAATGTTTCTGCAGGCGTACCAAAAGCTGATAGGTGAAATATTGAACGAATTTGCCGTCCAGAGGCTTTGAGGTAAGGAGGCGATTGAGGTCAGTTCCCAAAAGGTCCGTCACCAGATAACTGCGTCCTATCGTTAGTACTTTTGTAATCAATCCCCTGAAATTTATCCATTTTAGCAACTACATACACGTCCTCTAATGGCGAGATGAAAATGTCGCTTAGGCCAATGAGCTGTTGAAGGTCAGCAGTCGCATGGTAATAGGAATAAACTGCAGGGAGACAGACATTTTCATGACGCAGGTGTTTCAATAGCTTGACTTCGCGGTAGGTCCGTTTGGCGAGGGTGGCGTTGGAGAACGGCTTCATCATCTTCTTGATAGCTACTGGCTGGCGCGTAATCATGTCATAAGCCGAGCTAGTGTGGCCGCAACGTGGTTAGCTATTTTGATCTGTATATCCAGGTATGGCGACTACATGGTAAAAGAAAGTGAGCTCGTACCAAACAAGCCCGAAGGCACCAAGTCCAACAGGCTGCAAGTCGGAATATCTGAGCCGGAGATTAGTAGCTACGAATCGACCTTAGCAGCAAAGTGATCACTTACCTGTTGGTGGTTTCGAATGTAGTCCCCAAAATCTGGGATCGCAAGAACTCAGCCATGTTGTCTGACTGAAGTGGGGACCGTGTGAAACAGAAAATGGGTCAAGGATGGTAGATAAAAGATGGTAGATGGTAGTAAGTTGTACTGAGCACTACTGACTTAGTAGTACTATGTAGTAGTAGTAAGTCCGTAGTAGCAACTGTAGGTGGCAAACCTAAAGTTGAAGACCCTGGTGATATATGTTTATCTTATTTAAAAATCAGGTAGGAGGAAGCATGCCAGCTGAGCAAAGGCAAGCCAGTTGCATCATGGACAGCCACTAGTGTTAAGGGAAGTTCTGGCTGTGCAGCTGTAGGGATTATGGTGGTGGTGGTGGTGGTGGTGAATAATAAACGAGAAGGAAGAGGAGTACGGAGTACTAGTAGTAAGAGATACTCAAATTAACTATTAACTACTTTGATTACTGGGAGTACCACAGCGGTGCCTGGGCAGTGCCTGAAAGGCCAGTCACGGCTTGCGATTGGCGGGTTGTCGGACCAGCCACCAGCGCGCCGGGGCTTTTCCATTTCCAAGATTCCTTCCTTTTTCTTGCTGCCGGTAAATCCACCGTCGAACGACTCCAGCGTCACCGAGCTGAGTCCGTCTTTCCCTGAGCGGGTCGCCCATCTGTCCACTCCCCACGTTCCGGCCGTCTCCGAGTTTATCCTCACCTCTCCCACAGTCCCAAGGGGTTATTCCGAGCTTCCTCAGGAATCACTTCCACGTCTTGCACTTCCGCTGGCCCACACCAACGATGCAGCGATGGTCTCGCTTGCAGGGTTGTTACACAAACGACCCCGCTTGGTCGCGTGTGCATTCTAGTATCATCTCTATTTGACTCGATCGGTGGAACCTGCACGAGACATCGTGATTGCTCGAGACACGAAGAGCCAGGAAGAGTCGAGAAGGCGGAAGAATCCAACTGAGTAACTGGGAATGCGGGGGGACGGGCGTGGTAGGAAAGTACTACGTACTTGGGGACTAAACAGCAGCAGCTTATTCTACTCGTACTAAACTCCTCCATCGTCTTTACTAGAAGGAACTATCGCCAGAGCCTCCGGGCCAATCAGAATATAGGAGCAAGCCTTGACATCATCGCCGACTTCCTTGATTGACTAAGAAAACTAAAATAACTATCACACACCACGTAGCAGCCCTATCTACTTTTTTTTGGTGCTGGGGCTCATGAAACTCTAAGTTTTTCCAGCCCATGCCCTCGGATTTCCTTCCAGTGGGCCGTCAGATCTCCATGAGATTTTCTTCCGACCACAAGGGAACCGTGGTGTCGCGTTCCTGAGGGCTGCTTGCCACTTCCGTCTCCGAGAGAAGAAGATCTTCATCCTCCTCTGTTCCTGGTGTGGGCCGCGCTGCCGCGGCGGTCTCGGTAGTCTTCTTCAGCAAAAGCGCGTCGTGCTCCTTCGCACCTCCACTTGCAAACGCCTGGTAATGTCTGACCGCTTCGGGATAGGAACTCGGACCCTCCAACGGGGCGGTGGAGCCCTGGGACTCATGATGGAGACGTAAATTATCAAGTTGTGAAGCCACCTCGCATGTGCACCTGCAGATATGGCTTATTACACAGGGTTTACTGCAGACGTGCTTGCAAGCCATCCGTTTGTTGCAGATATCATTGCACTCTACCCGTTCATGAGAGAAGCTGTGTTGTTGCGACTATGTTAGCTTCATCCCACTCCTTTAGACTAGAGTTACTGCGCCTACCTGTGGCATTTGATGGGACAGGGATGGCCGCAAACCAACGTTTCATCACAATGGCAATCACATCCGCCGTTTATCTTGTTCCAGTCGGAAAGACCTGGGTGTCAGGTGTCAGCTAAACATTCAAAATGCACAATGATATTCAACGAAGGATTTCCCAAACCTTGTATAAATGTTGTCCGCTTGTGTTTTACACATGTGACGGGCAGCTGTGTTCCCAGACGCCGTGGTGGTTTGTTGTTGGCCATCAATGTCAGTACATCCCGCCAGAGTTGATTCTGTTTTGCCAACGAATTCGCGTTGCCGAACATATAAAACCCGCGTCTTGCACGCGACAGTGCAACACAGACCCTATTTGCAATCGACAGGAATCCAATGTCATTCTCGCCGCTCCGAACGAGTGAAAGAATGACGATCTCGTTTTCTTCTCCCTGGTATGAGTCAACAGTTACCACCTTCATGTACTGGCCTTGAAGGTACGGATGGTGTCTCAAAACGGTCAAGAGCTTTTTCCTCTGGCCATTGTAGAAGGTCAGAATGGTTATATCTTTCACAGTGTTGCCATTCTGTACCAGGTAGACAACGAATTCTGCGATCATCTGGGCCTCCATGTCGTTGTATTTGGACGCAAGGCTATCTCTGCTCTCTGGCCAAATATGAGTGAAAAAGTAGGAGCGAATGACCCCCATTCCTCTCACTCCAGGTCGTTTGCGTACTGACTCATGATCATTCAGTTCGCCGTATATAGGCTCCAAGAGTTGACGGATCTCCGGTGCCATTCTTCTTTGCCTGTTCAGCATGACGTACTTCATTCCGTTCTTGACCAGTCGCTCAAACATGGAGACTCCCAGATTGTAGGGCTCGCTCCCGAGCTCCTGAACAGTGCAGTGCCCTCGGAGCTGCTTGTGGTCACCCACGAGTATCATGTGCTGGAGTGAGTCAAAGCACGCAGCAACAATTGGCGCCTCAATAGCCTCGGCGGCTTCTTCGATCAAGACGATCTTCGGTTTGAGGCTGGAGATCAGCCCCCGGTATTTACTCAGACCCGTGGCTGTCATCCCGATCACTTTCGCCGTCCGAAGAACGTGGTAATCCCGTTCCCATTTTCCAATCTGGAGATTCTCACAGTTCTTCGAATAGAGTAAAACCTGTTGCCGAAGACTCTCTGTCATCTTGGTCTTCAATTGTTTCCGGAGGACATCATAGATTGCCCCCCGAGCCTCTTCTCTCACCTTCCACAGATCCTTCTGCTTCAGGTTTTCGATAGCAGAAGTCTCGGAGCACGAGATTTTGCAGCCACAAACTCCATCCTGAAGATTGATAAATTGTCCTTTGAGGATCTCGTAATCATCCTCTTCAATGCCCTGCTCGGCCTCCAATTCCTTTAGCTGTTCGTACTCGAGGTCTACCTCATCCTCCTCGAATCCGAAACTCTCTCTTTCATACCCCACTTCGAATGGTACCAACTTGTCACCTAGCCAGACTACCAGCGGGTCGGTATCTTCACTATCAGTGGGACGAGTCCAGCCTTCAGCACCTTTCTTTAAGTTGTCTAGCTGCGTCTCCGTCAAGAGGCCATACTCAAGAAATAGAGAAGCAGGAAGGGGCGCGTTGGTATTTTCGGCGTTGAAAGGCTGCAAAATTCTGGCAATGGCTTGGGTTAGGACTGTCTGTTCCTTTCTGGCCGCTCCTAGTACGCTTCCATGTACCGTGACCGCGGGTTCATTTTGCCTGACACAGTAGAGAGTCCTTCGTTTTATCTCGGGGTCGTTGCTCCGTGAACCGACCCGGATATAGCTTGTTTCGAAGGTGGCGACGAGCCTCAGAAGTTGATCCAACGCATGGTTTGTCTGGGAGGCTAGGATTATAGGAGAGTCCCCGTGCTTCAGGTTTGAAAGTAGGATCCTCAGCGCAATAACAGACACATAAGTCTTCCCTGTGCCAGGAGGGCCTTGTATGAGCGAGAGCCTCTTCGTAAGCATTTCGTGTAATGCTTGCCATTGTGTACTATCCATGGCCTGGCTTGGTTCTCGAGGCCAATTTTTTAGGATGTCAACTCTGTGTCCCTCGGCAGCCTCGGCAGTCTCGCTGGCTTCGGACTGTATGTCAAGGAGAGGATCCTGTTCCACATAGTCCGGGGCTCTGACATTAGGATCAAGCAGGCAAATGTGCTCAGAAAGAGGAAATCTATGTTATAAATCAGGATCTATTCATTGAAATGAAGAACTTTGTGCGACGTTGCAATAAAGCTCTACTCACTTTTCTTGTTTCAACTTCTGGAGTGCTGCCATCGTGTGCCTCACAGATTCATAGTAGCCATCCTTGGCTTCTACCATGATCCATTCCTTCTGAGGGTCGAATTCAAAATCTTCGGGCCTAGCAAGGAAGATATCAATCTCCGGAGGATGCTTTTGAACGCCTTCAAGCGGCCTGGCAGCAACAATAGCAACGATGCACTTCTGCTGAAATGCGTCATCTGCTGGACTAAGCGCAATTATAGAGCCGCTGACAAGACGCTTAGAATATTCCCACGCGATGTTTTTCTCCGCTCGGCGAGTGGAGAACCGGATCCTAATTCCTAGACCTCTTTGCGCGAATGTGATACCGGTGAAGTAAACCTGGAGCAATATCATACTGTCAGTAAATCGAAGAAGATTCGCGTGCTATATCATTTACCTTATCATAGATGGACACAAGTTTGGTGTCGGTCATCTTGGGGTTATCTCTGACGTATGCAACGGCGTCTCTAAGAGGAGCAATTGCGTCTTCTCGAAGGAGCTCATAGTGTGCTTTGAGATACTCATCGGTCGAGTTCCAAGGACCCGTGATTTTATTTGGAGTCAATTCCACATACTCATTCTCTGCAGAACCAAAGTTGCCCAATATCTCATCTGACGATGGAATGTCCGGCTTCTCTAGCCATTCCTCAGCAAAGTCAATAGATGGCTGGGCAAGGTACTCTCTGATGTCTTTATTGACCAGCAGATGGGTGTCAATATTTTGCTCTGACAGCCGGGTAACTGAGCGAGGAGTCCCGGGCCGATGGTAATCCCCTGAGTCCATATTGATGGGGCTTGAAGGGCTCAGAAATGTTTCAACGAGTAAATATCAAAGGCTTGGTTGTGCAAATGACTATAGTGGAGAACTTAATCTAGAAGGTAGAGAGATTGAAACCAGCAGAATAGTAAAGTGTTAGAGAGCTGCTTCGTATGGAAAGAAGGACTTGTGGCGAGATCTCGAAGCGATGAGGAACTGGAGGGGGAAAGTGAGAAGTAGGAAGGAACATACCGTGTAATTTATACTGCAATTCCTACAGTACCCATAGTTTTCACAGTGTATACAGTATGTACAGTGCCTATGAGTTAGGTAATGACTCATCTGCTCATTACTTAGTATTCACTTGAATAACACTTGGCTGATACCATCGTTCAGATGCACTTCACTCGCTTCTTCAATCGCCATTTGCTTGTGATCGGCTGCCACTTTCTTCAATTTTCCAATTCTGGCTATGTCTAAATAAAAGCTGGGAGTAAAGTTAGATTCTCAGGTGTGTCTAGTGATTGTAATTGTAAAGTTAACGTGTGGCCGTGGTGTAACATCAGCCATCTAGCTATAGGTTGAGGAAGTGTAGGTACTAGTTCTCTGTTTGCAGGCCGGACTATGTTGTTAATCCGGCCACAGTCACTTCAGCAAGCAGAATCATGTGGGAAAGACATTATCTCCTTTCTACTTTTGTCGCCTCATTCATTCGGCTTCTACTGCGCGCGAAGGGAGAAGCATGGTATGTGAACTGTCATCTCAGGCATACAGTTATAAGGCGAACGTTTCAAGCTCTGAAAATCCGCTATTACTATGTATATGAAGGATTTATGCACAAATTCGGTATCTGGACTCTGAACGATACTTACCTTTCACTGATGACGATGCCCAACTGGAAGCTGTAGGAAGATGATACCGCTATGTTTTTCAAACCACACCAACTTACGAGATCGTTGTGGTATGTGCTCACACACCGCTTGTGCGAAGCAAAGCAAGAGAGACAGGATTCCAGCAAATGCGTCACTTTGTGTCTGGAAAATTGTTCCCAAGATCACCAGTGATGCTGGAGCCTTGATAGATGCACCAATCTGCGCTAACCGGATAGAGAGTGTTATCGCCTGAGGCATTAATCTCACCGCGAAACGTGACCGAATCGGGGAAGGCCATAAGCGGGCAGCAAAGGATCAACTTACCCCAGAATCCAGTGATAGCTACATGTCGGTCTCTGCATTGTTCTGCGGACCTCTTATTCGGTGAAGACATCCTCACGTGTGCGCGATCACATTCAGCGCGATAACGTGTGCGAAGCCAAGCTATGTACCCTTAGTCTGCGGGGTTGCTTTGCATTCATTGAAATTGTTGCGCCTTGCCTGTGAAAGGACCCTGATCTCCACGCGGTCACAGGGGAGTCGGTACACACGCCTCTCTATTCCCTGCAATCTCCACTCACCTTATCCAAATTGGCGAGAAGCCTAGTCGTGTTACTGAACAATGGCTTCGATCGAAGATGACGACGATCGCGACCTTGCAGGTAAGCTTTGTGACTTGGTCCGGTTCATCTGGGCAACACTGATAAGTTCTCCGCAAACCCAGGCTCTCAAGACGGAAGTTCGGACAATGAAATGGAGGATACACTTCGGGATGCAGATGATGGAGGCAATGACAACGAACCTGATCCTGACGCGGACGCCGACCAAGATGCGGAAAGTCAGTCCAATGCTAGTCATGCATCCGAAAGCGCTGGGGTAGCGACGCAACCAAACGCGGATGTCGAAATGTCCAATTCAACTGCTACGAGTTCCGTTTCTGATCCACGATCTGTTTTCCATCCGAGCGTGCGAGAAAAATGCCTGACAGCGCCTACGTTCGACATAGTCCCAACTACGGCCGCCCCTCACAGTACATCGATCAATGCGGTAACTGCGACCGCTGATATGAGATGGGTATTCAGCGGCGGCTCAGATGGATACGTTCGGAAGTTCAATTGGGTGGATTCTGTCAACAGCAAGCTGATGCTCACTGTGGCGCAAAGGCATCCTTTCGTCGACAGTGTCATCAAGGCGGGTGTACTGATGACGTACTGGGAAAACATGGACGGGAACACAATATCGCCAGTATACTCACTGGCCAGCCATAGTGAAGGTCTATGGTTGTTGTCTGGCTTGGAGTCCGGTAGCATCCGACTGCAATCAGTCCGTCATGATGAAGGAAAAGAGATCGCTCTTCTGCAGCAGCATACTTCCGCAGTCTCTGTACTGAGCTTGACTTCAGATGAAAAGTCTCTACTATCTGGCAGCTGGGACAAGCGAGTATTTGATTGGGACCTTAACACAGGGCAGACCCGACGCGCATTCGGGTCTAGCGCCGGGCAGATTTCCGCTGTCGAGATACGGCCAGAATCCAGTCTGCCGATTCCCAGAGACACAACCGAGATTCAACAAACGAATGGCACATACTCGTCCAATTATCAGGCTCCTGATAATGGTAGCTTCAACTTCATGGATACGTCGAACGACGGTGAAAACGGCACTGGCTCAAACCCGCAGGCGGGCTCTCCGGCTGATTCACTCTTCGGCGGTGCCGACTCGCTATTCGGCGACGAAAACGGGAATGGAGGAGACGAGGCCGGCGCATCTGGAAATGCATTCGGCATTGACGACGATGATGAGTTTGGTAAAGCCCTTACGAATGGAGTGCTGCCAGATGCCGATGCCCCTGGAGAACCGGAACCGAGTCAGAACGCCGTTGCAGAGGCTCCTGCTGCTCCGGCTCCGGATTCGGCCCCGGCCCCGGCAGGTGCTGAAGCTGCAACTGCCAATAACGATGCCGTCACTCAACCCCCTAGTTCTGGCCAGGCGGAGATGCCTAATGGCTCCTCTCAGCCGATAGTCAATGGTCTACCACATGCCGAAGAGCTGGAACCACCAAGCTATACTCAAGAGAGTGCTCTTCCTGCGCCAGCAGAAACAGGTGCTAATACGGATAATCTTTTCCTGGCTGCGTCCATTGATGGCACTATCCGAGTGTGGGATAGAAGAGAACCGGATGCCGTTGCTCGCATCACTTCTCAAAACTGCCCTCCTTGGTGCATGAATGCATGCTGGTCTCCAGACGGCAACTATATTTATGCAGGCCGTCGTAATGGAACTGTTGAGGAGTACAGCCTTCATAAGGGCCTTCGGAATGCTGAACGGACCTTCAAATTCCCTCAGGGTAGTGGACCGGTCACGGCACTCAAGGCCATGCCTAATGGCAGACATATCGTTTGGTACGTATCTTCGTCGTCACTCAGGCTCTACTTTCATTGACATGACTGGCTGACCGTCACTTCATAGCGCATCGCATGACATTCTTCGATTGTACGACCTCAAACATGAACAAGTGACTCGCCACTCCACAGTGCCCTTCTTGATTATCCCAGGACATCGTACCGGAACTGTATCCCAGCTATATATTGACCAGGCGTGTCGCTTCATGGTCTCAACAAGTGGTAACAGAGGCTGGGAAGGTAATACGACGGAGGTCTTGCTAGGCTATGAGATTGGGGTGCCTGGTTAAAGGTCTGCCAGCTCCTTGCGGAAGAGTAAGTTTGCCATATCATCTGTGACCTTGAAAGTACGTGGGCACTAATGGTTGTGTTTAGGCGTCAGTTGCACCCTTTGGGTATCTAGTAGAATCGGAGTTCTTCTTAGACTCAAACATGAGATGAAAGCGATGACTCAGACATCGCCTCTGCCACGGAAAATGCATGAATGACTAATGTGAATGACATGAATGCAGTCGCTGATACTAGACAACCTGATTTCGATACACGATAGTATTTTTGCATTATACATGATTCATATACACATGACTGCATAAAGTATCGCCGCGTGCCTCAGAGGGCACACATAAATATGGACACGAAAACCACCAATGTTCCCGATATATATACCTCAACTCCCATGGGAACCTGGAATGCCAGTGACTCGCTTTCTTTTGAGCCATCAATACATTCACTTGAAATGAAGCCAACAAACGCCATAGGAACCAGTCAATATACAAAAGCAAAAAAGAAAGAAAATTCACAAATCATATCCATCGTGGACTGCATCATCAAGGTCGAGGCCTTCGCAAACCTCATGTTGCCCAACCCGCCAAGATCCGAATAGTGGATTATGGGCCCATTTAACATGACCATCGTCGTCCTGCTCAAAGTACACATAGCCTGGTTGCTCATCAGGATTGAACTCATCTTCGTTGGGTGACAATACGCCATCAGGCCCCGTGACCAGATTACTAAATCCCGGAATATCTGTGTTTGGAACATGGCCACGAGCTTCAATGTGGCCGTTTTCCACGCTGTTCACCGTAATCAGGTATACGGGAGGCAGAGCCGAGTCTCTCTCTGCTCTCAGGGGCATAGGCAGCCAGGCTTCATTGTTGAACGACTCGATTCTGTTCTTGTCATGTCGCAATGGCAGCGGTCGGGAGAGAAGCATAGCATCCAATTTGGCAGTGTCGAGCAACAAACCAGGCGTTTGCACATAGAGAACACTGTCATATTGCATAAACTGGATCTGTCCCAGCCGCAGCAGCTTTGTATCGGTAGGCTTGTAGCCTTCAGAAGTGGCTAGCGTCATATCAATGGGCAGAAGCCAGATACCGTACTCCAGGCTTGCCGTTCTCAGCAAAGAAAGGGCCGTGGCGACCGGTTCGGTGAGCTCCTTAGTGGGCATCAGGTCCCACTCACGCGGATACATGAACAGCCTATCCTGAACTGCAGTACCATTGGTCGCTAAGTGTTTAAAGAAGAGAATTGCGGAGCAGATGTCCGACGGATCGGGTGTGGAGAGAAGCTGGAGGTATGCAAAGTTGCCCGTTGTTGCTTGTGTGGAACCAGCATCATTCCTCTTGTGCTGTTTATCGGCGACACTATCGGAGAAAGCCTCTTGCCCGGCCCCTTGGTATGCTCCCACCGGGACCGCCGCCAGGGGTGGTGGCGGAGGAGGCGGTCGGATGGCATGCTGAATGCTTCGGACAGACTGCTGTTGCAGGACATACCCCGAAAGAAAGAGCAGAAAAGTAAAGGTACAAATGACAGCTGTGGATATAATGACCGAGACCGTCGACGAAGTAAGAAGCACCATGACTGTCTGTGCGCCCCCCAAATTAATCGCTTAGTACGTGTCTGTGTATACCCGTCGTACGTAGCCTGTGGAGACTGGATTGTAGGCAGCACTGTTTTGATATGCACTAGTAACTGCTTTAGAAAGCCCGGCCTATACAGCAAGTATACGAGGAGTAATTTTCAATTCGAACCGGATGAGATTTCCAGCGACCATGATATTTGATAGAAGCATGAGTTTCTAGTCTGACACAGGCAGATGATCATCACAAACATTCACTCTGGCGGTGCCAAGGCCACACCATGTCTCAGCCTGTTGATTGTGGCCCGTTGGCCGTGCGACTATCGATAAGCTGCTTCTTGGCACTTTACTATGCATACCATCATGACCCTCTCTAGATGATAACATGTAGGAACAATAACTTAATATGCGCGTGAAGAGAATATCCTCATTGTTCACAAGGATACATACAATTCCTTCGTTATCATCAACACCCTCCAGGCCATCAAAACACACCTCCACCCCCTACTCAACCCTCCTCCAAACACCCCAAACACCCCATGAACACCAATACTCCTGCCCCGTCAACGCGGAGCCCCTCCACCGCTACACAACCGGCGGCTACCACCCAATAACACTGGGAAGCCTCCTCCATCAAGGAAGATACAAAATCCTACATAAATTAGGATGGGGCGGATACTCCACCGTCTGGGCTGCTAGAGATGAACAGTACACAAATATCTCAGTTTCAATTATCCTGACATTGAAAATTACCTACTATCGAACAACCGCTAATAGGGAATTGTTTCAGAGAAGAGAGGTATGTCGCTATTAAGATCTGCGTATCGGAGAACTATAGCAATAGAGGGCATCGAGAGATGAATACTTTTTGAGGAATCTGAACGACACCCAACACATCGTGCGCATGTTTGATTACTTCGATATTCGGGGACCTAATGGGATACATCCCTGTTTGGTTCTCGAGATGCTGGGACCAAGTGTGGCTGATTTGGTGGAGGGGCGGTTTGCAGATGGGAGACTTCCTGGGAGTTTGGCTAGGGATGTTGCGAGGCAGGCTATGGTGGGACTTGATGCATTGCAGCGTAGGGAGATTGCGCATGGAGGTCAATCTTCCACTTCATGGTTGACTTCTCTTGCTTACATTGTATAGATTTCCATATTCGCAATCTGGCCTTCACTATACCCTCTATGGCCAATATCCCCGAAGATGAGTTTATTAATCTACTAGGAAAACCAGACATCGGACTCGTCCGCTGCAATGATGGTGGAAGTCTGGGGCCTGGTATACCTGAGTATATTGTTAGATCTGCGAATTTACACTTACAGCCATGGCCATTGTCGAAAACTATCAAGATAGTCGACTTTGGTGAATCGTTCCCACGGAAAGATGCGCCTGAGACACTACACACTCCATTAGTAGTTCGGGCACCTGAAGTGATATTCAAAGACCGTCTGGATCATCGTGTGGATTTGTGGAGTTTAGGCTGTATGGTATGGCGCGGCCTTACCCACCACTAATTGTTATGTTGTGGCTGAATGGCATGATAGTTATTCGAGTTATTTGTCGGTCAACCTCCCTTTGATAGCTTCTTGATCACTCCCAAGATTCTCGTTGAGCAAATGCAGGAGATAACGAATGGAGCATTGCCTGACAGATGGGTACCTTTATGGAAGTCAATGCGTGGCAAAGATATCACTGGGGACAGGGGACCTGGTTTGCAGGAATGGCTAGAGGAGATGTACTTTGATGGTGAGCGCAAAGAAGACTTGTCGAAAGATGATATTGTGGAACTGGGAAGGATTATTCGAAAGTTGTTACAATTCGAGCCAGGTGCCCGTGCTTCGGTGGAGGAGATCTTGAATGATCCTTGGTTTTAGAGTTGACATATCTGTATAATATACCTCTGGAACGAATATACAATAAATTGAGGTAGATCCTCCCTATCAACCGCATCTTCACTGTGATGTTAACATAAGAGAATAGAGAATCAAAAAAAGTAGTATGCAACCCACACCGCCCACCACCCCAAGGCGGTACCACCAAACCAACCGGCAGAAAAACAATCCCATCCACCATCTCCACCACAGATAGATAGCTAGCTTCCTCCAGTCTACCTACATACCTATCCATTCATTCAATTACCTTCATATCCTCCCTACCCTCCCTATCCTCTCCCACCCCTCCCAACAACCTCAAACAAACAAAAAAAAAGAAAAGAAAAGAGAAGAGAAGAAACGAACAATGACCTCCCACCGCGCCGACGCCAGCACCTTCCTCGACAACCGGGGCTACAGCGGCCCCCTAGTACGAGGCGTGAACCCAGCAACGCTCTTCGAAAAAGCCGTTCGGGACCGGATCACCGACTCCTACTACTGGAAAGAGCAATGTTTCGGGCTCAACGCCGCCACACTCTGCGACCGGGCCGTGGAACTGACCTGCATCGGGGGCGTATACGGCGTATCCGAAAAACCATCGCCATTCCTGTGTCTCGCATTCAAGCTTCTCCAACTCAACCCAGAACGGGACATTATCCTCGAGTATTTGAATTTCAGTGATCCTGCGAACGACGACAACGAAGACCCTACTTCTACAAATAATGATGAATCCTATGAGGAGGGTAACGGGGTAGTCAAAGCGCGCGGCGACTTCAAATACCTGCGCGCGCTCGCGGCGTTCTACGTGCGACTGACGTTCGAGCCGGTGGAGGTGTACAAGACGTTGGAACCGTTGCTGTTGGATTATCGGAAGTTGAAGAGACGGGTGCGGGATTCGTTTACGTTGACGTATATGGATCAGTTTGTCGATGAGTTGTTGACGAAGGAGAGAGTTTGTGGTACGAGTTTGTGGAAGTTGCCTGCTAGGCAGGTTTTGGAGGATTTGGATTTGTTGGAGGTTAGGGTTAGTCCGTTGCAGGATGAGTTGGAGGAGATGGAGAGGAGTGATCGGGAGGAGGATGAGGATGAGGATGGTGGTCGTGATGATGAGGGGAGTGAGGAGGGGGAGAGGCAGGGTGATGATTGAGGTGTCAGGCTTGGTGTCTGTTGATTTTTCTGACCTCTTTTCTGGGTTATTGGGCTGAGTACGCACACGGGATGCTGCGTAAACGCCTGGATCCCTGGGGCTGTCGGCTAGACTGTGTTCGGCTGATGGCTATCAGATCCGTGTGGTAGTCCACCGGTTGCGCCGTTCAGCGCCTACTCTAGCTGCTGCTGTGCGGCCGTTCGGAAACCCGCTCCGGCGACACCTACGTTCGGTGAAACGATACGTGAAGCGACAGGCTACTGCTGCGGCTACGGATGTACGCACCTGGTCAAACTTGGTCCTCGTGGGATACTATTGAGTAGATTGCTCAATTTTGGGATGCGCTGAGATAGCCTCCATTAAAACACAAAGCATGGCATAGTCGGCAATAGAAGGAATGAAACAGCCTCCCATATATGCAAATCCCATCCACCCATCTGGTTTACATACGTAAGGATTAGAATCCCTGCTGGCGATGCCATTTCTCCTGCCAACCTTGGTACCAAGGACTGTCATCCAAGGTTGACACCTGCCAATTCTTGGAGACCAGTCCCTTCTCTTCCTGCTCCTTGGCCCACTCTTCGAGCTTCGGGATTACAACGTGCTCCACGTGCCAGGTGCCTTTGTAATCCATCAAGTTCTTTTTACCCTCCTTCAGGATCTTGGCCGTCAATGCAGGCACGCCTGGCTCGTCCTGGAATTCTGACACCGGGGTGAAAAGGGCCTTGAAGTTGAAAACAATGGCGGCGGAAAGAGGGAGACGACGGAGAGTCTGCCAGTCGACACGCAAGTGACAGTTGTCCAGCTGGAGGTTCGGGTCCTGGGAAAGGCGCAGTGTCTCGTGAGGGTCCCCTTTAGGCATGTACAAAGGCTGGCCGACCTCGAGTCCCCAAGATCCTCTCTGAATGGGCTTGTCGGCAGGCATCTTGGTAAAAAACCTAGGCATTTCCTATCAGATCATCCCTCTTGTCCATATCTATGGCCGAATGAACTTACCGATCCATTGAAAATTGCATCTTCTCTTTGTAGTCCGGAATACCCTCGTGGATCTGATGCAGCTGAAGGCCAATTTTGGTTCCAACATTCCATCCCAAAGACGAACAGATGACGCCTGCGCGGAGGAAGTAGAATCCCGTCTTTTCATCGCGCATCATGATCCCAAAATCCTCTGGCACATTATTGATAAGAATCTCGAGGGGATGCTTGGACTTGATATCCTCTGTCGTTCCTAGGATCCGATTGTGCAGAACCCGGTTGTTTTCGACGGCAAAGTACTGCGGGTAGCGGGCACAGATAAACTGCAATACCATTTCCATGAGCTCCTTGCAGGCCAGTTCAGAGCCAGGAAGATAACCAAGCACGGAGCTACCATGTTCGGCGTACAACTCCTTGCGCTGTTTGACTCGCTCTTTGTAGGTTTTCTCGAGTTCGATCCACCAATCGGTCTCTAACTTCGTAAGGGCTATCGCGTTGCAAGTGGTTAGCTGGTACTTATTTGAGCAAACCAAGTATAGAACGGCAATAACGTACACATTGTCTGATGGTAGGACCACCTGAATGGGCGATAAGGTCGTGGCAACGCCTTGTCGATGTCGAACTCATAGTACGGCTCCGGCAAGGGCACACCACTGAGTTCAGCATAGTCAGGGAAATCACCCAGTGCCTTCACCTCTGCCACCGAGAATCCTGTTGGAGTATAGCTCTTGTCCGTGCATGTCTGGTAGTTCGAAGTCATAGGCAGTAGGTAGTTTGCAACTTCTTCCTCGTCGACACTTTCACATGAAATTGCAATCTTGGACGAATCGAGAACATGACGACGCTGTGGTGGGAAGACGTTCACATAAGGTGCAGAAGACGGTCCAGAGAGTTCCTTCTCAGCCGCTGCTGCCCATGGCTGCCACCCATATTTAGAGAACCTGTTGTTGCGAAGGCAACCTAAGAGACCGCTACCCTGCAATCTCCCGGTAACTAAGAAGAACCCAGCGAGTGAGAGCATGGCAAGGCCGACCAGCCATAGGTTACCCTGGTTGTTCAGTACGTCCATATTGGAAACCTGCTGTCCCACAACGCCCAAAAAGACAATGAGACGAGAAGAGACCGTAGCCACAGGGTTGTAGCGATCGGGACGCCGACAGAAACGCCAGAGGGAAACAAGAGCAAATATACCGCACCTGACAAAGTGGAGGCGTTACGTGAATGGAAGTCGGATGCGGTTCCCATAGCACTGACAGGCAGGCATACTAGGAAAGCTCAGCCTGCCCCAGAATTCTGGGGAAATCCCAGCTGATAAATCGGATATCCTGCTGCATAAAGGTGGCATCCCTCGACAGAATTTACTCTGTTTGGTGCGGCAATGCAGATAAATCAAAGATAAGGACAGTATCAGTCAGACACGACGCAGAGGCTTTGATAACCGACATGCTTCTTCTCCATGGCCAGCGGTCAACACGACACGATAACAGGCTCAGGCGCAGACTCATGACGGATCGGCGCAACCTTTTTAGCTGAGAGACGCGGCTGATTCGCCAGCTCCCACTGCTCTTCCATTGGGACGATGCGCCGAGGGTTTTTTAAAGACGCGCCTATAGCAATGTCATGTCCCACCGTCGTCCATCTGGTTCGTACTCGAGATAACGTTGGAGACACAACGAGACCGACCCAGAACACTACAAGGGATGAGTACATCCGCTGCAATGTAACCAACAACGTTTGGTTCGTCAGCTTGAATTATATGTACCACCTATATCTCTCCGCCCTGTGGTAATCATTAGGTATACAGATAACCGCCGGAAGCGAGTTCCTTGCACCAGGTGAGGGGTTTAGGGGGTTTTGAGGGGGTCTGTGGCTTGCGACAGGATAGAAATAGGCCCCCGACATCATGATGATCGGCCTAAGCAGGCAAGAGACGCAACAAACCGAGGAATAGCAGGATGCTGGATCCAGCTGACGAAAGAGGGAAAGAGGCAGCGTTGAGAGGCGAGAGTTGGATTGCCTGGAATGGCAAAACTATCCCGCAGCGGGGTTAGTCATGTGCCGCCAGGTTGTTTCCCATACTTCCTGCTTGCATCTTGCATCACTTCACCACCGTGCGATGCATGGGATTCGTCGCGGCAACGCACCGGGCTTGACCTATCTCTGCACAAGTCTGAAACGGATCAACCATGCCGGGATCCTGGCAAGTGACTCGACCGTTATTGGGGCTCTTCCCCGGAGTTGATATCTCGGGCTAGTATGTCGATAATCTTGCCCAGACTGCCACAAGAGATCTCCAAAGACAATGCTCAACATAAGATGCCTCTGATTAAGCCTCTTTGGGAAGCTTGGCGGTTATATTCCCGAGAAAAGGACATAGTCTGGCAGTGTTGTGCAGATATTGATCCATACTTGTCCGACCCTCACACACAGTCGGCAAAACCCTATCAATTTTCAGCAGCTGAGATCCAGGAATGATTGTCCGTGGCAGTTTCTCTGGCTAGGTCATTGTCTGCAGTTAACTACATGCCGGGAAGGGAAAGTATTATCAGAAGAGCACGCCCTAGATATATCAGACCTGTGGTGAAACCAGGCAAAGTTAATCACAGTCCCTCCTCATACAAAACCAATATTACAAGAACCACCGACAATACTCACATCCAGACGTCCATGACCACAGATTCATTTCACAGATTCATTTACACACGCACAACTCATTGGTAAAGAACAGCACACGAAGCACGCCCCATTCCTGTTTACGTATTCAAGAACCAGAAACTAGCCATCTCCACGCAAACCCCATAAACTCGAAACAGCTACTAGGTGGCAAATCTTCATTGGCAATGCAGGTACCCGGACAGCATAGATAGATAGTTCCAGGCCGTGGGTCCGTACATACAGATAGACTAAGGTAGTTAGGTAGGTGATCGTGGAAGTGGCAAAAACGACGTGTGGCTTGGGCAAACTTGATTGGCACTGGAATAGATCTCGAACTGGGCGCGGGAGCGGGTAATCCGTGCGTCGTAAGGTTTAGCTGACACTTTATGTTCTGGGACCGGCGCGACTTGGAAAGAACCGGTGAGAAACCGGTTTGTTAGAGATTCGATTGTCGGGCTGGGCTGGGCTGGGTTTCGGGTCTGGGGCCCGCTACGATGGGGTTGAGGGACCATGGATAGATAGATCTTAGAACCTTGTGGAAGTGGTATGGGACAGGTGGAGGGAATAGTATGTATGGAAACAGATCGATGCCTTTAGTATTCGGTCCGGTATTAAGCCCATTGCAATACATCATTAGTATAGATGCACGGCATCTTTCGCTATCAGAACAACTTCGCTCCATCGTGGTAAGATTACAGGTTGAACCCAATGATAGCGACATATCTCACACCGACCAATCTTTCAATGCATTCATGCAAATTTCAAATGACGCTCCATGTAACCCTGACACTTGTAATAATAGAAACACAGACAATGGAAATGGAAATGACAATGAGACAGAAAAACAGGGGCTAGATGACAAAGAGGTTCGAAGTAGGAAAACAAGAGCGAGGGGAAGGATTCTGGATAATCCATTAGAGTATGTACTTCAGCTTGTAGCACAGGTCCCTGTGCTTCGATATACACGGAGGTCGACAATATCAGGAGAAAGAATCGATGGAATCTGAGAAGAGCCGCGCCTGATGACGTGGTTTTGCGTAGTAAGTTTGTTGTAGCCGCCAGGCGGCTATGTTTTTCCACCTCCGAAAGGCGAATGAGGGTCCGTTTTAAATGCTTTTGAGCTTCCCCACCCCTCTACCCAACGCACCACCGTGAGGATGCATGACGCGTAGACATCGTGATGATCGAAACACCGGAGGTGGGGGGTTTTGTCGGAGGGGTGGGGCTGTCGAGTCCATCGTCTCTCCTGTAGTCGAATGAAAAGGAAGTCAAGGATTATGTGACAAATGGGTATCATAACACCGCTGTTTTCGCCGAAACACGCAAATCGAAATACATAGGAGATGTAAATGCAAAACACGAAGAGATAGGGTTCTGCGACACCCAACCGTTAGTCGGGGTTCGTGAGCTGCGTCACGTGTTAGCGTTCCAATATCAGACATCACGATAGGGAAAACATGGGGACTGACCCGCAACACAGGACGAGAATAGTCTTCATTATCCTGGAGTGAGACATCGCTATCTCGGCGGCCATTCGCGTAGAGAACGGTATCGGTTTTCATGCGGTTGTCCGTAAACGTCGGCAAGCGGCTGGCAGCGGACCCGGCAGACAAGGTATGACTATGATTGTCGGAAAACATGCCCTTCATAAAACTCATCTGTGAGCCTTTGCTTTGTCTTCCATCCAGTAGGATGGACTGTACACTTGGATCTGGGCTGTTCGACCGCGATTTGCGTTTCGCGAAGAACAACACGAATATCAAGGCTAGGATGGCGAGGGCACCACCGACAGAGCCTACCACAACACCAGCGATGGTTCCTGAGCTCATACCAGAGTTGTCGCTACTCTTTGCGGATGAAAGGTTGTCCGCTGCAGACGTTGAAGTTGCTTTCGTGGCAGCGGGAACTGTGACCGTTTCGACCACCCCAGAGTCGGTTGTGACTGCAACAGATTCTCCCGTCGTCGTAGCAGCAGTAGTTTCAGATGATGAAGAAGTCTGGCAAAGGTCAGTCCTGTTCAATATCATAAGCATTGAGACCTGGCAGGTCATTGCGCACTTCAGCGACCGAAGCAGCCATGGCACAGTTGATAGCAACACTGTCAACAAACTCGTTCGCTGTGCAAGGCAACGGACCATACGGGAAACGTTCAGCCAGGGGAGGCTAGCATGCCTGGCGAGTCGAGTCATCTGCAGTGCGCAAATCACGACCCAAAGACTCCGAACGAGTAGGAAAGGGCTCTACTGACCGAGGTTGACGATGTCGATGTCGTAGAGACGGTTGCTGTTCCGGACGGCTGCTGTCCAACGATCGCAACGTAACCGTAAAGGCCCTTTGAAGTACTTCCACAGCTATCATCGGGGTAACCAGGACAATCCTGGCTACACTGCGAAGTGTTCACGTTGGTCGCTTCATTGGGAACAATGTTCGAGCACCAGCAGTCGTATCCCTGAAGAATACCAAACGCATAGTTGCTGCAGTGGTCCTCGCAAAGACCATTAGACTGGTAGGTACTTTCGTCTGCATGAGGTTAGTGACCGGATCATGACAACGCCACGAATATCACATACTTGCTGCTTGTGAGGAGCCTGTATTTGTCGAAGAACAGTAGGTGAGAGAGGATGCGACCGACACAGGCCAAGCAAGCAAGGCAATCACACCAAGCAATGGTGGAAGAATGAAGTCGGCCCGCATGGCGAAAATTCCGACCGTATCCGTTGACGAGCTCCTGGCGTTTCAACGATTGTGTGCGAGCGAACAGTGATTATAAGGTGGCTCTGATGCCGAATTTAAATTGGTCCACGCTCCCACTTTATGGAGGTGTCTTGATAGATGGCCGAGCTCCCCACCGACGGTCTAAAGACTTTTTCGAGTGTATCAGAATGGCGAATATCCAGAACGCTGCTATGGCCCGCCAGTCGAATAATTGATCCGTCAGGCCCGTGCCCGAAGCGAGTACTATAACGACAGGAGATTCGGGTAGACGTCCCGCAGGTGAAGGTAGACCGAAGATAGCTGATGCCGATCAGCCACGGACCTCCCAGATAACTCTTCGCAAGCTCGACTCCGAATCAGTACGTACCAGATATCAGATGGACGAATTTGATGTCGTATTAGGAACGATGGAAATTGACTCGGTTCAATAAAGGGGCGTTTTCAACTGCGAGGGAACGCCGAACCAAACATTGGAGGGAATACGGGATCAACACAGCGCCGGTAAGATTAGAAGGTAATCGGCATCGTCCCCTCCAACCAAGACCAGGGGAGGAGTGTGAATGGCGAGAACGAGGGGTGGTGTTGCGTTCAGGGCGCAGGTGAAGAAAGTGGAAAGGGGGGTAAGTATGGTAGAGGAGAGGTAATAGAGAGAGACACAATTGAGGTTGGAGAAAGACAACAAATCTTCTCGGGGTGAGTCGAGCAGGCCCGAGAGGATGGGAATGGATGAGGAGGAGAGGTGGACTAGACTACGGCGACGCCAGCGGGAAGCCTGCAAGTGGGAGAGGCCGTAGTGGTAAGGAAGAGTGAGTGAGTAAAATGCGATTACCGAAACGGAATCAGGCTGGCCTAGTCCCGATGTTCCACACCAGCGTGGCCACTGCCAGTAACCGTTCTAGAAACCTGCACCTGGAAATTTTTAAATTGTTGGGGCCAAGTCAGTAAGTAAAGTATCACTCGGAGTACGTTCTCCGTGGGTGCGAGCAGCAGCAGAGCGAGAGAAAGAGGAGGTATATCATGGTGAAATGGAAAGGAAGGTAACGGTACTAATTATGTATGAAGTATGGGGAAAAAGAAAACAGGAGGAAAAAAGAATAAAAATAAAAATCCGGCTTACCCGCTTTGCAGTGGGCCGCAGGCCCGCATCGGGTCTAGCGGGCTAACCAACCGTCGGGTCCATACGCGTCGCTGTACGGAGTATTCCTCCCGTCGCTTTTACCTGTTACCAGCCGATTTTGTGTGCTTGGTACACCCGGATACACTCTTCTTTTTTTTTTTGGAGGGGCTGGAGTCAAGCATTTCTTTCTCTATCTCGATGATAAGATCTGCCAAATGCCACCAAGCACTCTAAAAAAGTCTTCCGCCAACGTGTATGACAACGCTCACGGGGAATACTGACCCTGTGTTTACTTTTCACCAGGAGGAGCTTGGTCGCAGTATCTTTAGTTCACTCTCGCCCCCAGTCAGTGGTATTTTCCCCAAGTGGGCAAGCTGACACTCCTGTCCCGAATCACGTATTTGGTAAGAATCGGTCTACACTCGTACCTGGACAAAATACAAATTCCGATCTGCTAGGAGTCTCCTACAGTATGCTTACGGTATGGCGCCACCACGTTAAGAGAAAGAGAAAATATTTGCAAAGGTCAACGAAGCCCACTGTTAAATGGCTCTTAAGGGGGGAGGGAGAAAAGGGCAGAAAGAGTGGAAGATAGCGAGCGTGACTGAAGAAAAACACAAACACATAAAGAATGGACAGGACGGTCAGTCAGTCATGCAAACCGAACTTTAGAATTTAAGAGGTGCTGAGCGCCCTTTAAAGTGACTGGATCAAAGGAAACGAAACAATTTCATTAAAAGAGGCAAACTCTATCTTTGTGATCAGTGGCATGTAGTCTGCCTACTGTGAGTGTGTGTATGTATGTATGTATCTGTTTCTCTGTAAATTCTAAGCTCAGGACCAACGCAATCCTAGTCTGAAACCACTATCTATCCTTTGCATGGGGCCGCGATCCTCCCATCCCAGAGAGAGAGAGAACACATTCTGGCTTAGTTGCTTGTTCTCCTTCCTTGCCTACTGTAGCTTACTTGGATCGGATTCCGGTGCGAAGCCAACCAGGAGGGGTTTAGCTGCCAATTTTCTTGCCTGCGTCACTTTGTCTGACACAGCGGACGGGCACTTGGAAAAGCTCCTGTGTGAAGTGTTACTGGCTGTGTGAGGACGCCCCGACCGTAGATATGGAGAAACCAAGTGGGCATCGATGTTGGATATTACAGCGTACCCAAGGAAAATGGATCTACCGGTTCAGCCACTTTGTAACCGAGCCAGGTATTCAGCGTTTGAGACAAGGCCACGGCCGCAGATCCTGAACCGTTGATTGGTTGTGGCTGGGCCAGCACTGCGTGGCCCAGTGCAGCTGTCGTCGTACCTGATACGTAGGTAGTCACCATTGATTTTGTTGAAGGATAAGTATTAGACGTGCGACTAATTGCTGAATATTTATTTTTTCTGGAGAATCTTCAGTATTAAGTGAGGTAAGGTTTGTGTATGTGAGTGGTGAAAAGAAATTACTTTGTAGTCAAGTGACAAACGGTCGCTGCCTATTGAGGAGGAGAAGGAGGAGGAGGAGGAAGAAATCACTACTACTAAGCTAGCAGACTAATGGTGGGGGTAAACAATTCCCAGGAGGTGATGACTATTTTAGTGTCTAGCTTGCGATAGTAACTAGGACTATTCTGGGCTAGTGTAAGCAAGATAATACACAAGATACACACTGACTGTACAGTGTACAGTAACAAACCCGATATGCAAGGTAAGATACGTAACAAACAAATCATACGGCACTCGCCACCGCACAGGACAACTCCTGGTCTTAGAATCCGCAGCAAGTGGAGTTGCAACCCGGCAGGAAGGAGAGGTCTAGAAGGCAGGATCGGTGGTGCGCTGACCCGATTCCCGCGTATGATGTAAATTATTCCCGCTGCCTCTGGGCTTGGCCTTGTTGCGTCTCTGTTGGTCTGGCCGTGGCTGGAACGAAGTCGAACCTCAAAAGGTAAGGGAAAGGGTCAAAGGTGAAGTACCACAATGATAAACTTGGTTGAATACGTCCCTGGGAGAGAAAGGAGATAACAAGTGGTGGACCGACGGTTTCAGCCGGCCTATCCCGTCTACTTTCCCAAGGATGTCCACCATAGGATCCACGGATGTCCGAAAGTTGGTCAGATCCAGGTGTTAACTTAACAAGCTAACTAGTAAGTTAATGGAAACCAACTTGCTTAGGCACTGACAAATCATGCGGTCGCATCTCCAGCTCCTTCCACGGTTAGGAAACCTCGTGTCATGGCACAGGCACGCCCTGCAATTGGATGCTCGTCTGGGCCGCTGCCATACAAGCTTTGCACTATCATAAACAAACCATGTCGCTCAGATGCTGCCATCCGACATCATGATTACATACATCTTAGGCTTGACTCGGTCCATCATCGTGGGAGCTAAAGTATACTTCCGGTGAAGAGCTTCGGGGATGATTCAGTCCTGTAAACAGGTGCCATGGGGCCAACGGGCTCCCTCCGGAGTCACTAGGCAGCAAGGTGTTGCTCACTTGCTCCGTACTTCTGTTGCTTGCAGCAAGGCATCCGCATCACTGCACTTACTTCCTGCGAGGTAGCACGGAGAATTTGTTGCATTGTACCCTGCGACTTCATCGCCAGGATTATGAAATGATCGCATTGCTGGGAAGGCTAGGTATACACTACTCAAATATGTTTAGTCGTGTCTTCCTCCATCTACAGGAACGATGAGAAAAGATCGACAATATTCGACTTGGTATCGAAGGCATTCTAAGCTTTGCGATCGACCATCGTCGGGTCCTATTGCGATATATACATAACATGGTGCCCGCGGCCCTCCTGTAATTCTTTGCCCCTGTCAGCAAGCCTCATTCTCGCCCAACTAAGCGGACATGAGATCGCCTTTTTTGAGCCAGATCAGAAGAATATGCTTGGGACAACGAGAAGTCTGGCTGTGCTCTCTGTTCAGAGTGATTAAAACCCCATCCTTCGATAGCATTGCTTCCGACTCTGCTAACGGTACGGAACAGCATATGATAACGCGCTAGACACATTCTTGCCTGGCTCCGGACATGCATCCATATCCCTGGAGTTGCACTAAACTACTGCACCGTCAATAGTGCTAAGCTATTGGCATTTTTGTCATCTGGCCAATGAGCTGTGCAAATCCCATCTACCCAGACAGGCGATGCGAGGATGACGCCAGTAACTTAAATTTCTGAAACCCCGCCTTTCAGGTTCTACCTACCTATCACACTACTATTTTGTGGTGCCTTCGATCGAGTCAAATCTCCCGGTCATATGGTTTGCAGTTGGACTACTGTCTGTCTACCTGGCGGGGCATGTTCAGCACTCGTCTACTACGTAGGTCACCCTATGGTTTTGATAGGGACCGTCTATCTGTACCCAGTACTTCCACTATATACGGTCGATCGGAAAACAGACTATTCCTTTTTTTGCTGGAGCCGCATGATGATGGCATGAGCAGCTGAACAGTTTGGCCTGGAATTGACTCGCAGCGGAATGCCCTTCGTTCTTAGCCTTTCAAACAGATATGAAGGGGTACCCTCACGGGAACTACGGCAATGCCGACCGGGCGACAGCCAGATCGCTAGCCTTATCTGTGAAGCCATCCGCAAGGGGGTGATAGCATTGATATCGCGGTACCAAGGGGATATAGTGTGCCAGTGAACCATGGAACCCGAGTGTGGCTGGTGCAGCCATCAGAAACAACCCGGGACACGATCAGACTATCGCAATGTCAGCAAGGTTACCAAATCACACACAAACAGAATTTGCCGGGCCGTAACCAGCCCAGTGCCCATCGCACTATCCTTAATATCGGCATTTGGTATTACTTACTCCATGTGGAGGACTCCATCACGATGATCGCTCTGCCCACAAAAGCAATGTGGCTGAAGGGAGCGAAACAAAAACCGGAACGGAATCCAGGGCGTGAGCTGATTAGTCACATGCCGATCCGTGATTCGTAAGCGGGGCGCGGTCCTTCTCAAAGTAGTTACTCTCTCTTCATCAGTCAGCAGGCATCTTTCCATCGCTCCTGAGCTCAATGTGTGCACATAGGGGGAAACTGAGTAAAGGACTTCACTAACATTGCTAGATTCAATAAACAAACAACACTATACCCGCATCTACCACAACAAACATATTGAAAAACAACAACAAAGTCCCAAGCACAAACAGCAATCGAACAATCAATCAACTATGAGTCCATTCACAAAAATAGTAGCACATCGGCCACCCCTTTGGTGGACACTTAATTTACTCTAGCGGCGTATTTTTCATCTCCTGGCAATTTCCTCCGTCCGGTCCTAATTTTGGTCAACGGTAAACAATAGCAGCACCACCTTTTCATTTCCCTACGATGGAGCCCGGAAGGGTCGCCTCGCTTGACTAACTATTTACTATCTACCAGACCAGTCAAGAATAACTCTCAGACCTACGTACTAAGTAAGTGGAGATATATAGCTGTCAGTCGATACTACTACGACACCAATCTATCTATACTACCTGCTATTCACAGTATGCAGTATCATTCTACCCGATTCTTTATTAGGTTTATTTATAGATGTACTATCTACTTATGGGGTACTCATCGATGTTTATACAGATGCACGCATACACAGTGCACTGACACATGACATATTTAGAACTACTACTAGATTATATCAGAGCAAGACAGAGAGCCCTATAGTCAAGTAGTCACACACACACACACACACACACACACCCATCATCCCTAAATATACCACTCCGCTCAATTAATAGCAACAATAGTGAATAGACACATCACATGAACTCCCCCCATTCCTTCCCATCCCTCGAATCCCCATCACTATTCAAAGAAACCAACTACCCACACATAACATAAACCAAGTACCTACCACATACAGTAAATTCCTCCACAACCAAAGCAAACCATCCCAAAAACAAAAAAAGAGAAGAAGAAAAAAAAAAAAAATCCTATTGTGACTCGTCAAATTAACGGGGGCCGAATCCCCGAAATTTTGAAACATAAGGTACATACAAGTACATACTTATTTATGTTACTTTTCCTCATCCCTGTAGATACATACATGACATACAACACAGATACAAGTATGTGTGTTAACTCCGTAATGCATGATCATCTGCATGGACGGGTTGTGAGGCTGATTTGGGTATATGCTATGCTTTTGCTTAGGTTTCAATTTGATATTTTTTTTTCTTGGTAGTAGACGGGTTGCAAGCGAGAATGGTAAGTAGGGAATGAATTGGGATTGGGGGCTGCTACTACTGCTTGTTGTCGTTGGCGTGGCTTGGCTTGATTCGGCTTGTTGTTGGAGGTGAGGCGCAGCAGCAGCAGCAGCACGGTGCGATTGTGTTGGTTGATTTGGATTGTTTAGTGGGTTTGGGTTGGGGCTGTTGTTGGTTCTCTTTTGATTAATTGTTCTTGTTGTTATTGTTTATGGTTTACTGTCTTTGGTTTAGGTGGTTAGTTAGCAAGTAAGCAACCAAGCAAGGTACTAGATACTATTCATATATTGCTTCATCCAAGGTGAGGGTATATAGACAATTATGATGTGGTCTGGAACCTGACAACAACAACGGCAACACGGGTATCTGGGAACCCAAACAGTCTCGGGTCTGCATCCGACCAGGGTATATTGGAGCTGTAGTATAAGTCCAACAAAAAAAAAGTCCGCTGTTTCACCACCGCCCTGGGCGCTGAGGGCCCCTCCAGCGGTTGCCCTCGACGACAAGATCCCGTTCCTTCTTTCTCCGCTCATCCCGAACGAAGCGGGGAGGTGGTGGTTGGTTGTCGAGAAGCAGGGGCGCTGCTTTCTCGGCTGCAGGTATCAGAGGTGGTGGAGGAGGAGGAGGAGCAGCTACACGAGGCAGAGCTGCTCGCTCACGGTGGATCTCTTGAATTCGACGACGGCGTGCACGCCGAATCTCTTCCGAGCGTTCAATCAGTGCGTCGACGTCGTTCTATGCAGGTCTGTCAGTAGGGGATAGACAGGTGGCACACAAAGAAAAGTGAAACATGCCTGCTCGAGGTAGGAAAATATGTAATAGAAGGACTCCGTCTCCTCATACTCATAGCCAGACCGCTCAAGGGCCTCTCTCACTATCAGGTCCTTCGTAATCTCCGTCCAAAGGCCGTCACGACGGTCTTTGAGTCCAACGTATCGTCGTCCTATTCGCCCAAGTTGTCGTTCCGGGATATTGTCAGACTCTTTCACGTCTTTAACAACAAGCTTAGACTCACGATCTCCGTATCGTGAAGGCTTGATTTCTTGTGCCACTATCTCAGTCCGTTTCTCTTCCTTGGGTTCGGCTCTGACGATATCCAGCTCCTCCATGGTCTTAATTTCCTTCCTAGGAGGCGTGCGATGCCCACGGAGCCTGTAGAAATCCTCTTCTTCAAATTCTTCCTCGACGAGGGACTCTCGGCTACCATCCCGCCGTATCACTGTAAGCCTTTCCTTTTCGCGCTCCATTGACCTAGGCCTCGGAGGGTCGATAGGTACAACCTTTTCCCGCCGAGGTTGAGGGAATTCCTCTTCCTCTCGTCGAAGAAAGAGTATCTCTTCTTTATCCCGTCGTCCTTTCCGGCGTATCTCACTATTCAAAGGTGAGCGGGTTATAGTTGAAGATATGGCTTGTCCAGACATACCGTTCGCGAAATTCTGCTTCTGTAAGTGTGATCTCAGGGCTATGAGCTCGAGGCATGCTAGGCTTTGTTCTAAAACCTACGAATGAATGTGAATGACCAATGCTGGGATACATAAGGAAGAGAACAACTCTTACCATCACGAATAGGTCTACCATGCCCCGGCGATGGAACTCTAGGGATTGCAATTTCTGGAGATGACGACCTTTCCCGTCTTTCGAAGATAATCTCCTTTTCCTCAACACTTCGCTCAGGTCTTCTTTCCCTAGGGTCCCAGAATGAGACTTCCTCTTCATCGACCTCTTCATCGAGCTCGTCGTCAGCATCATCTAAACTTTTGTGTCGGTGTGATCTGTGCCTGTGTCGCGAATGCGATGACCTCTCATAGAAAGGGCCACTGCGGTGCCTCCTATGGTGTTCCTCCACATCGGGCCTTCGAAGCCGCACGTCACCTTGCTTATAATCCAGTTCTCGCAGTCTCCTTTCCTCCAGAAGACTCCGACTGCGTGGTTTAGGTGCAGCCTCTGGAACCTCATACCTGTGTCGATGCACCGGCCGTTCTTTTCTCGGTACAACAACGATATCACTGTCGGACTCGCTATCAGTGTATCTTCGGTCTGTTTCCTCGCGAAACGTGATCTCCTCTATATCCCGGTCCCTCGAACGAGGCCGTCCGCGAAGAGGGGGTTGTTCATCCCAGTCTCTCTTCAAGCGGCGCGGTCTCTCACGAGGTGGTTCAAGGTCTTCTGGCTCACGCCTCAGGATTGGTGGCGCTAAATCACGAGGATAGCCATGAGGCTCACGTAAAATCTCCGGTTTTCTTTGAGCTTCCAGGTGTAAGCGTTCAAGTTTGTCAAGCGGTAGTCCCTCAGATCCTCGACGTTTGTATCTTATATCTTCCTCGAAGAAACGCTCATCCCTGCCTCGTCGTGGATACACATCACGCTCAACCTCGTACATGTCCTCCTCGTCGTATTCTCGAGCACGACCTCGTCGAGGCATGGTGTGTCGTTAAGAATAAAGAAATGCCACAATGGCTAAAGATATGCGCACTAAATAGATTTATCAAAGAGCGACATGTAAAGGGTAAACAGCAGGTTCTCGCTAGGCGGTTAAGGCTGGTGTGCGACGTTCCTTAGCAGCTGTATGAGCGACGAAGCAGGCAGGAGGCAAGAGCAGCTGCTTTGCGACAGAAGCACGGCACTAGCAGGAGACGATCAAGTCATTCCACCGTAGGAAAATCAGCCTGACGATAACGTTATTCCTATTATGTCAGTGACGGAAAATATCTGGTTGCAAGATGATAGGCATCCGAGCGAGTCCAGCCTGGAAGCGACCCCGCGGCTGAGTCGGCTGATGTCATGCTGCAGCACGGGTTCTCTGCCCGAGAAATCTTCCCAATGCTCGTTGGATACGAGCCACCACATTATCCTTTTAGCTGGTGGATGAATGATTCAAATGGCTTGTATGGATCTTCAAGCCATGTGGAAATGATATATAGAGTTGATTACTAGTGAGAAAGCCTAGCGAAGTCGTGGAACCGTGGTTCAGCTGGCGGAATCGCATGTTGTTGGCTGAGTAGTAGTATGATGATGATGATGATGATGATGATGATGATATATTATTCATCGCCACAACTAAAACAGAGTAGGTCTGATCGATGATTGGCGATGCTGGTTTCCAGTTCTTTCTCCAATGAGATGCTAAATAGCACCTTTGATGTTGTTGGTATGGTAGTGTAGTTACTAGTTAGTGGCACTGGTAAGTAATGTGGGTACAGAAGTAATCTGTGGCTCGTTTCAAACTATATATTGTGTACTAATGGAGGTTGGTGCCTTGAGTTAAACACAATTGGGGAATCGTGACCTGAGGCTACCAGTATTCAGTGATAAAAACTGAAACGTGAGACACACAGCGTTCAATTCTATTTTGAATTTCAAAGGATCTGACGGTACTTGATCCTGGATTATATACTATATATTGATATCTCGTTACATATAAGGTTAAGCCTTACCCGAATTTGAGACGAGTCTGCCCCTTCTCTGGCTTACCCCGATTGCTACGATTGGCCTTATTACGAGCATTAGATGCTCCGGGTTTGCTTGTGGGTACTGGAGACTGTTGAGGAACGCTGGATGCCTGTCGTTCTTCATCTGCCAGGTCTTTGGCAAAGTGCCAATCATCATGTTCACCCCTCTCGTGCTCTGGTAGTACGCTCCCGCAGCGACTGCAGGTATAACCCTCTGGCAACGTTGCTATTAGCTCAGATGAGGGGTCCTTGGCCTGAAGGGCTGAATCTGTATGCTCGTTGAGCTC